GACGAAAACGGTTTATCTCAAATATTTAAATATCTGTCTTTTTTGGTCAGTTCATTTTTATCTAATGGAAGCCAACGCTGTTAACCACAATTCAAACATTAACAATTCTCAACCGCTAACCAAAGCCAAAGCCCCACCTACCTCAATATAATATCTTTACATCTACTCTTATTTCCAAAGAACGGTAACGGCGGTTTTGTAAAATTCATTTATATATAATAATAAAAATGTTTTTACCCGAAAAGTGACAGAAGAGTGACAAAACATGAAAACATATATAATTTGTGAAAAGTGACACATTATATAATGTTTTCGACCCAGAAGAAGGCTTCTTCCCAGAAGCAATGGAGGAGGAAGAAGAGGAGGAAATACAAGACTCTATCCAAGAAGAGTCCTCCGAATTCACACCAGAAGACTAACAATTTTCCGAATAAAAACTTCATTTATACTAAACATCTTCGGGGCTAGAGGGCGCAACGCGCCTGGAAGCCCCACTATCTTTTTTTTCACTTTCATTGCTTTTTTTTTCACGCACATTCTGATGAAAAAAATCTGAAATAATTGATGTGTCTATAAAATCGACCATTTGAACTCGATTATTTAATATTCTGACATTTTCACAAAATTGAATAATATCGGTTATGGTTTCGAAATCTCATAATTCAGTTGTCTATAATGATATCTATGATATTTGAACTTATTTAATTTCAAAGATTAATTGAGTAATTTACCAAATATTGGCCATCTTCTTGTTTCACATCCATTGGAAACTCATATACTTTCAATTTAAAAAAAAGTTAAAGCTTTCGATTTATAGTTACAAATTTTATGCTATGTAAAATCTCGAATTTTATACGCGTTTTATAACGTCGGGAAAAAATGTGGTACCAAAAAGAAAATCTGGTACCAAAACATTTTGAATGAAAATTTACAAATGAAAACTTTAAAATCTTAATATACTATGTATATTGATCATGTTTAATCTTTGATACCCTGATTCAAGAGTAGACAATTTTTTTGAGAACAAGATTTTTTTGGTGAAAATTTAAAATATTAATACTTTAATGATAACAATTAATTTTTTCAAAAATTAAGTTCTGAAATTTTGAGAGCAGCTTTCTCAATTTTCATTTGGCTTTTTTGTTGTATATTTAATATCTCCTCGTAATGTTAATTTGGTTTTTTCTATTTCTCGGCTAAAATTCTTATTTTTGAATTGATTTTGATTTCTCAGCCATCCTCTTTAAATATTGGCGTTCTATTGTATAGAAAGTATATTTTCACATTATTAGAAAGTTGTCCAATCAGATTTCCTTACATTTTAAGCAAATTTTATTAATCTCTATAATAATTCACAACAAAATTCCATTGTTAGCCAATATTAATTCTCAAACATGCATAATACATAGATTGACTTATGATATGCTCACTAAAACCGCTATTTTCGTTTCATGTTGTTGAGATTTAAAATAAATTAAACTTAATTATAGAATTTATGAAGCTATTTAGTATTAAGTTGCATATAGCTTTTCTCTAGACCATACATGTGCAATCAATTTGTGAGTATTTAGCCTCTTATTGTATGATTTCTTACAAAAAATAAATAAAAAAGTTCGATTTTCTCAAAAAAATTCAATATTCTCGATTTCTAATCATTAAAAACTAAAATCAAATCAAGAAAAAGATTTCTATATTAATATTTTATTATGGCAGTCCCAACGGGAACCGCGGTAATTTACCGAGGTTTCCGCACACCGGTTCCTTTTTTTAGGAATTTTTTAGATTAAAAAATATGCTTTGTAAATCATTTTTTGTAAATCGGCAAAAATTTGGAAATATTCTGACGACAATAAATCTGGGAATAGTATTTTAAATACGAGAACAACCTATTTAAAAGTGTTTCGCTCGATTTTGTATAATTTCAAATTTTCGCATATAGCTTTCCGTGAATTACCGTGATTTTACCGCCACATCAATAGTTTACGACACTTTTTCCGTAAAATTGAGTTACGGGAATCCGTAAGATTACCGTACCTCACTTCTAGTTGAAAATAGCATTAGTATATAATAAATAGATATATTATTCATATTTTTGATTTTGAATTACGGAAAAGTGAGTTCAGAACTTCCAATTATTATTTGATTAATTATGTTAAAAATACTATAAGGAATTAAAATACATAATGTTGAAATTTGAATTACGGAAAAAGTGAGGGTGAAAGTGAAGTGAAAAAGTAAGATATTTTTTGTTGAAATAATCATAGTTGTACAATTTTGAAACTATATGTAAAGCTATAAATTGAATAAATTCAAAAACAAAAATTGTTTATTCTTATTAATAAATTTATATTAATCAATATTTGAACAACCCGTAATTAAAATTGAATTCCTCTTAAAATTTAATCCATACGTTAATTTTTAATTTGCTCGGCGAATGCCGAGCTTCCCTACTTCTCTTGTCATTCCTTCAAAAACTCTAATCTCATCGCACTTACAAACATCATGATTTGATGTATTGTCGAGAAATCTTAGACTTGTTTGTCATTTGATTATAGCATTTGAAAGTCATCTCGAAAATCGATTAACAAGACAATTTCCCAAACATCTACATACAAGTAGATGATGGTAAACCCATTAGAGTTGTTTTGCTATGATTCCTCCAATCTTATGATGAGAAAAATCATATCAAAACAGCTCTAATCGAACATTCTACACAGCTTAGCATCCAGCTAGTTCCAAGTAATGCGATTACAACATCAACGGCCAAAGCCTTTCAGAGTCCTTTAATCATTTCTTCTCATCTCAATGTGAAGTGGCCCCAAACGAACTACAAGCTGACGTTACAACGCATTACAACCCGGTTAATACGAGCATATACATTAGAGCTGCTTTGTTATGATCTCCCTCATCAATTGATGAGAGATCTCATTATGAAGCAGCTCCAATCGAACTAAAAACCTACATACAAATGAGTGAAAACAAACTCATTAGAGTTGTGTTGCTTTGATTTCTCTCATCAGAAGATGAGAGATACCAGAACAAAACAACTCTAATCAAACTTTCTACACAACTCAGCACAGTATCAATGCAAAGTAATGCGTCTGTATCGTTAACAAGCAAAGTTGTTTCGGGTCCTTCCATTTTGGAAGAATTCGGAACAACTTTGCGAATTGATAGTGTAAACCCATATACATGAAAGCGTGCATGCATAAAGACAGGTATTGTCAGCAATGACTACCTGCCCAGCTATGAGTGATCAGAGAATTACCATCTCAGGCTTTTTGAGAACGTTTCAGCCAGGACCCTCGTATGTTGACTGTGAGAAAGGCATCCTTTATCTGAAATAGATGCTTTTCCAACAATCAAATTCGAAGATCTTCGACGTTGTTGTAAAAAGAGAAGGAGAAGGAAAGAAGAGGAAGGAGAGGAAGAAGGAAAGGAAAAGAAGAAGAAAAAAGAAAAAAAGTAGGACATATTAAATATAATGCGCACTTAATAGTGCCGAGGCAGCGGAGCCGCCGAGGCGCGATTTTTTTGACCCTATATTACCGCACGGCAATGTTTTACTCGATTTTGTACAGCCCTATATTTTATATATTATTCATAAATATTTGCATTTATATTCAGATAATCAAATCTGTAAAATTGCGGTTTGACATTTTATGTGGTCATAGAAACATTGCAATTTCAAGACCTACAAGCTCGAAATGTAATACAACACTCAAATTCTACTTAATATATCTGCCAAGAAACTCATCAAATCGTTTTTTGTTCAATTCTTCTCTAATTTACCGAGAAGATTCCTCGAAAAAAATTTTTTATAGCAAAAAGTGTTAAACAAATAGTTCTAACTCAACAAACAAGTTTAATTCTACGATATCGATTTAATTTTGCAAGATTTTTTACTTGCATTTCGAATGTTCGAAGTCAATAACTCGAATAGCATCTACGGATCAATGGATCTATCAATCTAATAGCTATGTTACACCATCATTTTGTTGTTGGTAAACACTTATTATTTAATAATTTTAATTTTTTTTTCATTTTGTTTTTCAGACAATATTAATTTCATTATATTATTCTCTATGATGATTTATTCGATAGATTTCTTTCGAATGTTTTTTTATGCAAATTTATATAATATCGCTCTCAAACTTAGCCTATTGCTTCTCCTCAAGGTATATGTGATTCTTCCTTCTCACAGTTTCATCACTTTCTCTCAAAAAACATCTTGGTACCAGATTTTCTTCTTAGTACGCCAAAAATTTTCCGACGTTATTTCTTATGATTTCTACGATTTTATCGTTTTTATCATTTTCATTTATAATTTGATCCTAATTATTTTAATGTCATAATTTCCAATTGATCGAAATTCTATTGAATTCAAATTTTCGGATTATGACATTTTCTAGTAACAAAGCCTATTCTATTTCATTGTTCTTTTATTCAAATTAATTATAACCAACAATCAGCAAGTGCTGAAGTAATTTTTGCATATTCCATTGAGTTTTACAAACAGTTTACCAAATTTTCACTCAATCCAGCTTTCCGACCCCACGGCTAAAATTATCTTACCACGAGGACAACTGCAACTATAATGGAATTTGTCGGTGTTTTTTTGTTAGGCTTTCCATGTGCTTTTTTTTATAAAACAATATGAAAGAGATAATTTTTCCATTTACGAATTTATTGAAGTTCCATTTTTGATTTACAAATTAAAGCCTTTATTACAAAATTTTATTTGAATGATATTCCAAACGATTTATTATCATTGACTTATCTTACCCAACTTATATAGTTCAAATAAAATGGAGTTTTTACACTTTACTAGGATCATCACAAAATTGACAAGTTATAATTTTTGCATACTTTACATTCAAACATATAAATAATAATATTCATTGATGCCATGAAATGGTTAAAATTTCTCCGATTACATAAATTTTATTTATTTATTTTTTGAATTAATTTTATTACGTGTCAATTTTCATTGAATTTTAATGCTTTCCATTATATTTTGTTTTATTCTCGCACATTCTGCACTCGAAAACAACAACGTTAGATGTGAGATAAATGCCAGCAATTTCGATGCATCTGAATTTGCCTCAAGTTGTACATTTTTGGATTATTTTATTGATACAGAAGAACCAATCAATGTTAACATCTCAATTCAATATAAAAAGCTGGAAACAATAATTTTTACTACAAATCGCTCCAATATAACTATTAATAAACTAAATCTTAGTCAAATTCATGTTACAGAGATAATATTCCCACGGGATGCTATCGTTAGTATCAGTAATGATGCAATACAAAGTGAGTGTCTTGAAAAGATTAACATTATGGCAAAATATCATATTAATTTGACAAATATCTTACAAACATGTCCTACCATTAATAAAATAGATTTCATAGAATATGATGATTCCATTTTTCAAAATGAAGAATATACTGATTACTTCTCTTTGTTAACACATATTGGCCTCATTGATATGAAAACTCCCATCGATATGAATCATTTTACTAACTATCAGAATTTACAAGAAATACATTCCATTAATACAGAACTTAATTTTTCGAACTCATTCACTCTACCCCAACAATGGCGAGCAATTATTATCAATAATCAATATACTATAGATACAAATGAATTATCTATGTTCTCCTCTCATGTTACAAATTTTAGCATAAATAAAGGATACATTAAAATTTATTTACAAAATGAAAAGTATAAAAACACAGCAGTTTACTTTGTTAATAATACTGAAGGTAACTTTAATTCAATTGATTTTGTTGATGGAGAGGATCAATATAATGTTGCCTATATATATCAATTGAAAGATAACAAAATTACATCATTTCCAAGAAATTGCAAGTTCAAAGAACTTCATTTTGATATGAAAAATTTAACAGTTGATCTGAATAACAACGAATCTCCAATTCACATCGAAAGTCTAATTTTTGAAAACTATGAGAATCTTCTAATTAGAAAGAATTCATTCCACACAAACGATTTCATTGGTGACATTATGCTTTATGGTAAATTATCTATAGAATCTCAATCAGAACAACAACATTTAACAATTGAAGAATATGCATTTAATGGAACTACAATAGAAAGCATCTCTATTCTAGACAATCGCGCTATCAAAGATTTTACTTTTTATAATTGCAATATTACAAAATACTTAAACTTATTATCAGGATCATCAATAAATCTCATAAATCTGGCCAAATATAATCCAAATATTAAAAGAGTAATTGGCCAAAATGAATCAACATATTATTATAATAGTTTAACAGATCCAAGTTTTATGCCACAAGATACACAAAATATTATTGTTTTCGATAATGATGTAGATATTTCTAATTTACATAAAAAACAACTGGTTTCTTTACACATTTATAGATGCAAATCATATGGAAAATTCACTAACGAATTTAATATTAACTCAATATACTTTTATTTTATGAATAGTACAATCAAAGAACATACTTTTTCTGGAGCTGTCGTTGAAAATATTTATTTCTATGAATATCAAACAGGTCTTGTATTTGAAGAAAACGCGATAAACACAAATTCACTTGAATCAATTTATTTCCAGCAAGATAATCCTGCATTTGTTCAGTTTGATGATCGTTCTATTCAATGCAATAACTTACATACAATATATCTTCCTCTTTCATGCAATATCAACATTGATTATTTATTGGATGAGTGTAAAAATCTTGATTTTTCACAATTCAGAGAGTTTAAATTTGAACACTCATCAATTTCTATAGACAACAGATTTTTTGGAAAGTTTAATGATCCAGTTAATTTTTACATTAATGATTCATCTTTGGGTATACTTTTTGACTCCATATCAAAATTACAAAAATTGAATTTTATTGTTAATTCAAATCCAATTGAGTTATCATTCATTGAAAATTATTATAGAATAGAATCACATTATAATGCGCTTCAAATCAAATGTATTAATCCTGTTTATTTCATTGCAACAGACCATATAGGCATGGATTTTGGAGCTAAAACATATGTTATTTATAATGCAACAAGTTTTGAAGACATTGATTTAGACAATCCATATGACGTCAAAAATATTACTGTTTTTTCAGTTCAAAACACTACAGGAGCTTTTACCATCAAGGATTCCTCTAGCAATTCAGAGGCCATCGATCATTTTAATAATAATATTGATACATCATCTATAAATCTTTTAGAAAATCAATTAGATTTTGAGAGCAATGACAATAATCAAGAGTCGAATGATGATGTTCAACTTTTCAAATTTGGAACGTTTGAATTTAAAGAATCAGTTCCAAAGATAGGAATGCATGTATTTAAAAACGTCAAATCAATCCAATCATTAATATTTTCAGGAGAAAGCGTCCGTACTATCGAATCAAATGAATTAATTAACACAACTATTGATAAAATTCATATCCCTTCATCAAACAATATTTTGTTTGATCAATTATTAGAAAACTGTCCAAATATTAGTGAATTTGAGATTGGAGAAAGTAACACACAATCAGAATCTATCTTATTTAATAATTCAAAATCAAGTATTGGACCAAAGTTTTTAGATAAATTTTCAAAACTCAAGAATGTTTCTCTAATTAATTCATCTTTAATAATTTCTAGTCCATCGAAACCTCAATTCAATTTAACGATAGGAGAATCGGATTTCATACCTCTGGATGAGATATATAAAGATATTCAAAACATCCAAATTCTGCAAATTAAACACAATGAGCAGACAAATAAATATAACATCTTTGCAAATACAAGTGAAGGAGAGCAATATGCTATTATACCCAATCTTGACGATCTAAATGACTTAGTTTCAATATCATCCACAAAAATAGATCAAATCATAGTTTATAATCTAACTAAAAAGGTAATAGAAAATATTCCTCCAATCAATAATGTTGACAGCATTTATTTCAAAGCCGATATCGAGAGTGTATGTTTTAATTATACAAATCCTTCATCAATTAAATCATTCATTTTCGAGAATGAAAATCAAATCACAGTTAAATCATTAGGAGATCAAACTGATGTTTATAATGATATATTAGTTAATTATAAATTCAATGGAGGAAATGTTACAATTGAAAACAATGCATTCGTTAATCAAAAGATAGGTTTATTTGAGTTACCAGCAGACTCGCAATCAATTGTTAATGATGACTCATTCATTAACTGTAATATTAGCAATTTTGTTGTTCAAGATAACACAGAAATTAATTTCAGAAATATACTCAGCACATCAAATAACAACGATATTAATTTCACCGGAATTAATAAAGGATATTATTTGTATGATGGAAACACAATCCAAGGAGACAAAGTTCTTGTTTTTAGACCAAGACTTAACTTGAAAGATATCAATTTAGGCACATCACATATTGAAGAAGTGATATTTGAAATGTGCGATTGCAGCATTATTGAAAGTTCCACATTTTCTAATACTGATATCAAAACTATCATTTTCAATACAGATGTTGAAGAAATCAATGAAAATGCATTCAGTGAAATTACTAATCTTGTTAGTATCATATTCAACAAAGAAAGTGATAGATTAGTTATCAAATCAAAAGCTTTTTCAAATAATAATGTTCGAGAAATCACATTTAAATCAAGGAACATTACATTCCTCAGTGAATCTTTTTACAGACTTGGAAATCTTACAACAATTAGGATTAATAGCACTCAAAGAATTGATAATACCAATCCTATAGTTACATTCAATAATGACATATATAATGATTGTATCAAATTAAGAACAATTAAAATTACCAATCAAAAAACAATTGTTCATATTAAAAGTGAAGCATTTCAAAATATGAATTTTGATTCATTTGAGTTACCAGCAGACTCGCAATCAATTGTTAATGATGACTCATTCATTAACTGTAATATTAGCAATTTTGTTGTTCAAGATAACACAGAAATTAATTTCAGAAATATACTCAGCACATCAAATAACAACGATATTAATTTCACCGGAATTAATAAAGGATATTATTTGTATGATGGAAACACAATCCAAGGAGACAAAGTTCTTGTTTTTAGACCAAGACTTAACTTGAAAGATATCAATTTAGGCACATCACATATTGAAGAAGTGATATTTGAAATGTGCGATTGCAGCATTATTGAAAGTTCCACATTTTCTAATACTGATATCAAAACTATCATTTTCAATACAGATGTCAACGAAATTCAAGAGAATGCATTCAGCGGAAATCAAAATATCGAGAGCATCATCTTCAACAAAGAAACTAATAACACAACCATCAATATGAATGCATTTTAAAATGGCAATATTAATATAATCACATTCAAATCAATAAATATAACATTCAGCAGCGGATCATTTTTTTAATCTTGGAAATCTTATTAAAATTCACATTGATTGTACCAATTCTGATAAAGAAGCCATAGTTACATTCAAATCACAATCGTTCAAAAATTGCAACAAATTAGAAACAATCGAAATAACTAATCCAAACACAAAACTTATCATCGAAAATGATGCATTCTCAAATACAAATATTAAGGCATTTATTCTCAATCAGACAAATGAAAAGTTTGACATTTTGCGTATTATTAAAAACTGTCTATCTCTTGAATATCTTGTTATTAACACAGAAAAACCAAATATTAAATACATTACAAATATTGAAAACTTAACAAACATTGAAGAATCAGATCATCTCATATTTGTTAATAAGAGCATTGAACTTTCAGAACTTCCATATTTGGATGTCGAAGAAATATCATTTTATATGCTAAATGATAGCATCATTTCCAATTTCCCTAATAACAATATTAAAAATATTACATTTTATACAAACATAACTTCAGTTGAAACAGGCAGTTTCAACAATACATCAAAACTTGAATTGATCAAATTTGAAGGCAGTGATAACATCATTTTCAAATTAAACTCATTTATTAATTTGAATTCGTTAGATCAAATTACAATCTATGATAAATCTGTTGTTACAATCGAATCTCATGCCTTCGTAAACGTAAGTATTAATTCATTTTCATTACCAGCAGACTCACAATCAACTGTTAATGATGACTCATTCATTAACTGTAATATTAGCAACTTTGTTGTTCGAGAAAACAGCAAAATCAATTTCAGAAATATCATCAATCATAACAACAATATTAATTTCACCGGCAAATACAACAAATATTATTTGTATGATGGAAACACAATGCAAGGAGTCAAAGTTCTTGTTATTCAACCAGGACTTAAACTGGAAGATATCAAATTAGGTTCAACACATATTGAAGAAGTAATTTTTGAAATTTGCAATTGCAGCATTATTGAAAATTCCACATTTTCTAATACTGATATCAAAACTATCATTTTCAATACAGATGTTGAAGAAATCAGAAAGAATGCATTCAGTGAAATTCAAAATCTCGAAAAAGTCACATTTATATCATCAAATATTTCATTCGACAGTGAATCATTTTCAAATCTTCTTGATCTCAAAACAATCATTATTAATTCTAGTGCTGACAATCCCACAGTTACATTCAAAAATAAAGCATTCACTAATTGCAGTAACTTAAATACTATTGAAATCACTAATCCAAGCACAAATCTTAATCTTGAAGATGGAGCATTCCAAAATATGACCTTTGATAAATTTGCTTTACCAGCAGAATCATCTTCAATTGTGAATGATAGATCATTCATTAACTGTAGCATCGATAATTTTGTAGTTGCAAATCATTCTCAAATCAATTTCAGAAATATTGTCAATAATAACAATATTACTAAATTCTCAGGAATGTACAACAGATATTATTTGTATGATGGAAACACAATCCAAGGAGACAAAGTTCTTGTTTTTAGACCAAGACTTAACTTGAAAGATATCAATTTAGGCACATCACATATTGAAGAAGTGATATTTGAAATGTGCGATTGCAGCATTATTGAAAGTTCCACATTTTCTAATACTGATATCAAAACTATCATTTTCAATACAGATGTTGAAGAAATCAATGAAAATGCATTCAGTGAAATTACTAATCTTGTTAGTATCATATTCAACAAAGAAAGTGATAGATTAGTTATCAAATCAAAAGCTTTTTCAAATAATAATGTTCGAGAAATCACATTTAAATCAAGGAACATTACATTCCTCAGTGAATCTTTTTACAGACTTGGAAATCTTACAACAATTGTTATAAATTGCGATGATTTTGAGAATCCTACAATTAATTTCATACTTGAGGAATCCAAGACTGAAATATTCAAAGATTGCAACAGTCTAGAAACAATTGAAATTACTAATCCGAACACAAGTATTGTTATAGATGATGTTGCATTATCAAATATCAAAGTCAAAGCATTTATTCTCAATCAGACAAATGAAAAGTTTGATATATTGCGTATTATTAAAAACTGTCTATCTCTTGAATATCTTGTTATTAACACAGAAAAACCAAATATTAAATACATTACAAATATTGAAAACTTAACAAACATTGAAGAATCAGATCATCTCATATTTGTTAATAAGAGCATTGAACTTTCAGAACTTCCATATTTGGATGTCGAAGAAATATCATTTTATATGCTAAATGATAGCATCATTTCCAATTTCCCTAATAACAATATTAAAAATATTACATTTTATACAAACATAACTTCAGTTGAAACAGGCAGTTTCAACAATACATCAAAACTTGAATTGATCAAATTTGAAGGCAGTGATAACATCATTTTCAAATTAAACTCATTTATTAATTTGAATTCGTTAGATCAAATTACAATCTATGATAAATCTGTTGTTACAATCGAATCTCATGCCTTCGTAAACGTAAGTATTAATTCATTTTCATTACCAGCAGACTCACAATCAACTGTTAATGATGACTCATTCATTAACTGTAATATTAGCAATTTTGTTGTTAGTAATAACACAGAAATCAATTTCAGAAATCTCCTCAAAACATCTAACAACAATAATATCAACTTCACTGGATTTAATCAAGGATATTATTTATACGATGAGAATCATGAAATTAATAGTGATAAAGTTCTTGTTGTTAAACCGAACCTTAACTTGAAAGATATCGAATTTGGTACATCACATTTAGAAGAAGTGATATTTGAAATGTGCAATTGCAGCATTATTGAAAGATCCACATTTTCTAATACTAACATCAAATCAATAATTTTCAATACAGATGTCAACGAAATCAGAGAGAATGCATTCAGTGAAATTCAAAATCTCGAAAAAGTCACATTTATATCATCAAATATTTCATTCGACAGTGAATCATTTTCAAATCTTCTTGATCTCAAAACAATCATTATTAATTCTAGTGCTGACAATCCCACAGTTACATTCAAAAATAAAGCATTCACTAATTGCAGTAACTTAAATACTATTGAAATCACCAATGCAAGTACAAATCTTAACCTAGAAGATGGAGCATTTTTAAACACAAATCTTCAGACATTTGCATTCAGCAATATTTCTGAGACCGATGTTCTGAAACTCATCAAAGATAATCCATCAATTGAGTATTTGAATGTTAATAAAGAAAAAGATACCAAGTATTTAACAAGTCTAGATAATATTACTTTTGATGGAAGCATCAATAAAGTTATATTTGTTAACAGAAGTCTATCATTAAATGACATTCCTCCATTAAATGTCACTGAAGTTTCATTTTATCTCCTGAATGACACAACACTTTCAAGCATTCCAAATCTAAATGTCACGAAAATAGTATTTGAAACAAATGTTAGTTTTGTTAGTTCAAATAGTTTTGAAAATAACACAAATCTCAAATCAATCAGTTTCAATGGAGATGGTGATCTAACAATAGAAACAGATGCATTCAAAGGATGTGAAAATCTGAATAGCATCACTATTTCAGAAAATGCAAGTGTCACAATTGAAGATTATGTATTTAGAAACACAGGTATCAAAGAGTTCAATGTTCATCGGGACTTCAAAGTATCACTTGAAAACTTAGTTCGTACAGGACTTGAAACAATCCATGTTCATAAAGAAGATGATAACTTATATATCAGTGATAATAACAATATTGAAACAAAATGCTCAGAAAATCAAAAGAAGAACAATATTATAGTCTTATCTAAATCTATTAATTTATCTTCAATTAAAGACGAATGCTTTACTAGTGTTAAAAATGTTTCGCTTTATCTGGTCAATGATACTGTTATTGAACAAAATTATTTTACTGATTCAAAAATCGAAGTATTTAATGCATCATTGTCATCAATCAAAACGATTGAAGCTGATGCATTTAAGAATTGTAGTTCTCTCAAGATCATTGAACTTCCAAATAGTACTTCATTTAACATTTCAAACATTGTTTCTAACTGTCAAAACTTAGATTATGTCAAATCACTTCCACACTATGTTACATCTGTTAGTGAAATCAGTACTAAAGATGTTACAATATCATCCAAGCACTTCAAGATATCAGACTTGCAAAATCGCAAAGATTTAGAAAATATCAGTTTCTCCTTGATCGAAGATACTGTTTTATCAGAGAATTCATTTAATAATATGAACAATCTGAAAACATTAGATCTTTCACTCACAAAAATCGAAACCATCAAATCAAACGCGTTTTCAAACATAAACTCTGATATTGATATAATATTCCCATCCACACTAAGCAAAATATCATCAAAAGCATTCAATAATGTTAAAATGAAACAATTTAAAGTTTTTGGTAAAATCAACTTAGAAAAGCAATCATTCTATGAATGCGACATAAATGAAATCATCATCGAAGAAGATGTTACTGATTTTAATGTAAGTCCATTCTACAAATGTGGAAGAACTCTTAATATTAAAGTTAATAACAATAAAATATTTAAACTAAATACTCGCGGACAATTAATTAAGAAGAAACAAAATAGTTTAAGAAAACTATTTGACGATTCTGATAAAGATGAATTAATTTTTGTTCCAGGATCAGAAAACAGTGTCATCACTATCACAGAACCAATGATTGATCCATATGCACTTTCATACTGCCAGAAATATACTCTTCTAACACAACCAGATACAATGGATTCATTGATTGGAGTATGCAAGGCAGGCGGACAGAATGCAACAGTATTTTTCCAATCAGATATGTCTTCATATAACTACAAATATTTCGAATGCGATAAAAGGACTTGTACATTGAACTGTGATGGTACAAATCTTCCATTGCGAACACCATATCCAACGCCAATCCAGACACCAGAACCTGTTAAGCCAGATGAAAATAGTAATAAGAAAGACGATGTTGCCCAACTTACACCAATTTTATCTGTTCAAGATGATGGTAAGAAAGTTCAACTGAAAGCAACATTATCTGAACTTGTTACACAATCAAAGTCAGAAACACAAGTAAAGCAAGTTCAAGTGATAGAAGCTAACAGTTCATTAACAACAACATACTCTTATGTCGTAACAATGACATTAGTTGATATCAAAACGATGACATACACTAACATTTGGATTGAATACAATGACGCCGATACTCGCCCTGGACTTTCAGCCGGCAAAATTATTTTGTTATGTTCTGGATGCGTTGTCCTTTCCTTCTTGGTCGTCATGATGGGTCTTTATCTCTACAGACGTACAAAAGATAATGTTGACGCTGACGATGAAGATCCATCATTTGAAGAAATGGAGAAGGATATTGGTCATGTTGTATTTCCAATTAATGATACAATTCAAGTCGAAAGTAATTCCGAAAACAGTTTTGAGGAAGCAACTCTTGATAATCCTATGAAATTAAGAGCAGATTCTGACGATTTGAAAGATGGAAGCGACAGCTTTGACCAAGACCAAAATTACAATGAAAAAGTAATTAATATTGAAATTTGATTTTTCAAAAAATTTAAATAAACTTTTATTATTATTATCTATGCAAATTACTCGTCTTTATTAATAAAAACAAACAAAAAAAAACGATTATATTACAAAAGTGTACCTGACTCGGGTTTACATGATTTCGTTTCGAAAAATTGCTGATTATTATAGACACTAACTGATTAGAAGAATCAGTATTTTATAGTTATTACTCTCGGATCTAGCGCAGAAAGTAGAAAAGAAACAGAGAGACTTACCTGATATCACTTATCGTTGTACGTTAGCCTGACATTCAATAACGAAAAGTCCATTTTTATTAGTATGCATTAGGTTTGGCAGTTTATTAGTTTGAATTTTATATCAAATTATTTGAAAAACTTCGTCGATAAGTTTTCAAATTTGTATAAAACTTTCAATTTATTTTTACATTGCAATTGACTAAATGATTATTACTTCTTTAGTTTATCGTAATGTGATTATTCTAGTTTGTCAAATTTCTAATTTTCACAAATGATTTGCTTACTTTTTGGTCTTATCTACTCAGCATATAATCTTAATGATATCCCTAGTCATTGCATTATATATCAAAGCAAAATTGAATCGATAAATACTAATCAAGACTGCTCATTTATAAATTTTGTAATAGACTCAAGCAATCAAATTGAAATTAGTGGTAGGAGTACCTTCAAAAACTTTAAATCTCTTAACACTATAAATTTCACTACGAATCTAGAAAAATTATCTTTTAATAAACTTGATCTTCAAAATATGAATGTTATTGAAATAATATTACCGCAAAATGTTGGTGTCACTATCACGGAAAATGCAATTCAGAGTAATTCTCTTAAAAAGATAAATTTATTCATGAATCTTCAAATCAATATCCCATCGTTTTTCGAAAACTGCCCAAATGTTGATTATATTGATATGATTGAATATTTTGACTTCAGTAATTTTATCTCTGAGGCTGAAATGTCTCAAATTACACATCTTGGCTGCATTAATTCGGTTAAAGGAATACAACCTTTCAGTATTTTCCCAAATCTTCAAGAAATTCATTGTATAAATTCAGAACTTCAATTTAATAATGATATTAAAATTAATGAAAACCCGAAAATAATCATCATAAATGATCAATATACAATTGATATAAACCAAATATATAAAGATTGTCCCGAATTATCAGACTTTAGTATTTCAAAAGATTATCAAGGATATTTTATTGGATATTCAAAACAATATTCAGGTTGTTACTTCTTTTTTAACAACAGTAATAGTCTTAATTCAATCAATTTTGAAGAAAATTTTAAATTAATTTCAGCATTCGTTTATCAACTGAAAGAAAACGAAAATATTTCATTTCCAAGAGATTATCAATTTGAAAATCTTATATTCAAAATAAAAAATCTAAATATAAGTCTTAGTGATAATTCAATTAAACTTAAGGCCAATAATTTGAAATTTGAAAACTTTGGACATCTTATAATCAAGGCCAATTTACTCCCTGCAAATGATTTCATAAAAAATCTTGAATCAGTCAGTTTCAATGGAGATGGTGATCTAACAATAGAAACAGATGCATTCAAAGGATGTGAAAATCTGAATAGCATCACTATTTCAGAAAATGCAAAAGTCACAATTGAAGATTATGCATTTAGAAACACAGGTATCAAAGAGTTCAATGTTCATCAAGACTTCAAAGTATCACTTGAAAACCTAGTTCGTACAGGACTTGAAACAATCCATGTTCATAAAGAAGATGAAAACTTATATATCAGTGATAATGAGCAATTTAAAACAATATGCCCAAAAAATGAAAAGAAGAACATTATAGTTTTATCTAAATCAATCAGTTTATATTCAATTAAAGAAAATTGCTTAACTAATGTTGAAAATGTTTCACTTTATCTGATCAAAGATACCTTTGTCGGTTCGGATTGTTTTAACAATTCAAACATCAAAGTATTTAATGCATCGCTATTAACAATTCAAAAAATTGGAGAAAATGCATTCAATAACTGTAATTCTCTCAAGATAATTGAACTTCCAAATAATACTGATTTTGATATTTCAAACATCATTTCTAACTGCAAATCTCTTGAAACATTGAAATCACTTCCAAACTATGTCACATCTCCTGATGATATCAGTGATAAAAACATAACAATTTCATCAATTCACTTCAAGATATCAGACATCAAAAAGAGTCAATTATACTCAGAACTCGAAAGTATTAAAATATTATTTAGTGGTGAAGATAAAATATCACGCGATTCATTCACAAATATGAATCAACTGAAAGCACTAGATTTATCACATACAAATATCACATCCATTGAAGGTAATGCATTTTCAAACATAAATTCAGGAATTGATATCATCTTCCCACAAACTCTAAAATTCTTTTCGAAGAATTCATTCGTCAATGTTAAATTCAATGAATTCAAAGTTCTCAAACAATATGAACTACCAACAATGTCATTCAACAAATGTCAGTTTGATTCAATCATCATTGACACTGATGTTGCCGAATTCAGTGTTGGTCCATTCTACAAATGTGGTAAAACACTTAACATCAATCACACTCTTAATGAACGCTTTTCTCTTAATGACCATAATTATTTGATTTACAAGAACACAAGTGATATTAAAACATCAACTAATGAACTTATCTTTGTTCCAGAACCATCAACACATATCGTAAACATTTCAGAGAAACATGTTGAACCATATGCACTATCATATTGTCCAGGATGTGTTATTCTCACTGATCAAGATAAATTAGAATCACTTATTCATATGTGCAAGGATGATATCGACTCCATTGATGTTGTCTTATCATCCGAAGCTAAAACATATGATTCAAAATATTATTCATGCAACGCATACAACTGTAAATTGAACTGTCGTGGCTATCTCATTCCAACTCGAACACCATTCCCAACACCAGTTCAAACACCAGAAACAATTTCAGAAGACAATAAAAACAAAGGCAAAGGACATGACAAGGATGGTGTATCAAAACAAACACCAATTCTCTCTGTTAATGATGACGGCAAAACAGTTCAATTAACTGTCACAATTTCTAATGTCATCACACAAACAGAATCAGATATCGAAACAAATCAAATCACCATTACGAATACTAATAGTTCATTGACAACAACTTACACTCGTACATTTATCAGAACTTGGACAGACATAGAAACTCTTACATACACCAATGCATGGATGGAATATAACGAACCAGAAACGCGCCGAGGTCTTTCTACAGGCAAAGTCATTCTACTAGTATCAGGAGGTATTTTCATTACATTTCTTATTTGTATGATGGGTCTTTATCTATATCGTCGAACTAAAGATGATTCTGAGAGGATTGATACGTCATCATCTTCAACATTTATTGAGATTGAAGATGACATCGGATATGTTATTGATCCTAACTTTGTCAACGATCGCCAAGAATCAACAACTAACCTGAACTGTGAAGACAACACTGATGAGAATCCAATGTTTCTTATTATATCACAAGATATTATTGGCGAAAACAGCGACAATATGCTCGATTCAGATAAATTCGATGTTAATGATTTCGTCGATATCGAGATATAAGCTTTATCTCAAATTTTTGTTATTTAAACTTTATCTATGAATCTTAAGTATTTTTTAATTTTTACGAACAACTATATATATGAAATTTATCTCAATTAGCTAATGATTCTCTGCTAAATTAGGGTTTTCATCCTTTTGAACATTCTTCAATTACAGATGCTGGATTGGATGCGAATATGATAGATCAGCAAAAGCACTTTCAGCAGAAATTAGGATGAGATCTCATCAAAATTTTGATGAAAAAATATGATTTAAGTCAGCTAAACAATCATATATGTTTTCCTCTTATATGCAATTTTATGTGAAACGTTTTTGGTCGCTCATGGTTGATATGATAAGAAATCAAATCTTATAATTTTACAAGTATAGAAAAAATTGAGTTGTTTATTTCATAAATGTTTTTCGCTGTTTGTATTGTTTTAATTTTAATCCAAACACAGTTCGAAGCATACCTTCATAGGCGTCAATACATGAAAATTATCGGTAGCACTGAAGCTCCAGAGATATTCAAAGAATTTTACACTCAAGATGAATTTTCTGCCGCACGTGAATACGAAATGGAGAAATCGTTCTTCAAGATCATCCAAACACTCTATTTAGGATTCGTTCTTGTTATTTTTGTTATGATAATTGCTAAAATTTGGAAGATTTTATCAATTTGTAACGAATATATCAGATCAATCATATTCGTCATCATTCTTGCAATCTTATTCCTCGGTTTTCAGATCCCAATGAAGTACTACAATACATTTGTCATTGAACAAAAGCATGGCTTCAATAATTCCACATTAGGACTCTTCATCAGAGACCAAGTTACAGTCCTTGGCATTGTCATTGTTGAATTCGTTATCTTGGTCCCTATTTTCATGTTTATCTACAAGAAAACAGGAAAAGCATTTATTCCGATTGGCTGTTTGATTTATGTACTTATTATCATCATCCATCAACTCATCTTCCCAACAATTATCTACCCACTCTTTACAAAGCTCACACCTCTTGAAAAAGGCGAATTATTTGACGCAGTCATGAAATTAGCCAACGAAACAGACTTCCCAGTATCAGAAATGTACTCTGCCGACGACTCCAAGCGCTCCAACCACCAGAACGCCATGTTATTCGGCCTCTGGACCAAGAAAGTCGCGATTGCAGATACATTATTAAATGTTTCTACTCCAGAAACTATCCAAGCCATTGTTGGACACGAAATTGGCCATTCCAAGCACCATCACATCATCAAAATGATGTTCATTGGCTTCTTTGAAGGAATTATCCTCTTCACACTTTTGAATTTCATCATGAAATCAGATAAAGTTTTCCAAGATTTCGGATTGAAGGATGAGAAGCCATTTATTGTTGGATTTATTATTTTCTTCTTCCTTTACACTCCTATTTCAACATTGTTGCAACTTCCAGAGAACATGTGCATCAGATACTTCGAATTCCAAGCTGATCACTACTCTGCATCACGTGGATTGCCTCTTGATGTCGCTTTGCTCAAATTAGCAAAGGATAACAAGATGGCCATAGAACCAGACTACTTGTTCCACTCTTTATACCACTCGCATCCAACAATTCTACAAAGAGTTGACAGAATTAGAAAGATATTCGCGGAATTAAAGAAAGAATAAAGAATATATATTTATCTTTATAAATATTCGCTCATATTATTAAACGCATATAATATATGAGTTAATGATGCAATTACACTCACATATCTTCTCGTTTAATATGATAGTTGATGTTTACATTCTATATCTTGAAATAGCAGTCAACAATCATTTATATTTTATCAAATGCAAGCTTGAATAAAACAGCATCTATGTTATGATCTTCAATATTGTTTATACCAGAATAGAAAGCTAAAGCATTTTCTTTGGAGTAGAAACTTGATATGTTTGAATCGTTACATTAGATTTCCTGGCTCAAATTTGCACTTGATACGAGATAATTTAGGATTTATTTAGAGATTTTGAGCTTTCACTCTTAATTTCATTATTTAATGAATAATTTATATATTGTTTGCTTTTTAACGCTATATTGGCTAAAAATATTTTATGAATTTTGAAAAACTGAAGAATGAAATGTAGAGTCTAGAATCATTATTGGTTTCATATAATAAATGTAGTTTTACAATAACAATAAGAGTGAATCAGATTTTTTCTTCACTGCGAAATGAGTGTTGAGGAGTCAATAACTCAATATGAAACGGCAATTAATAAGAAAAAGGCTTTAATAGAAGAGTATAAGAAGACCCTTTCTGGTGAAGAACAATGCGTTTTCTCAAAAGAATACATTATTAAAAGAACTGAAGAATTAAACGAAATAATGCAAGCTTTTGATCATGTATTACAAAAATTCAGACGAGTCAAAGATGTTCCAAAGCCAGAACTCATGGCTGCACAAATTTCGAAATACCAAAAAGGAATTAAAACTGTAGAAGACTCTATAAGAGACTACCAAAAAGCTATAGATTCGGCTAATAAAACAATTGCAAAGAATCAAAGTCTTAAAATTGATGCTGATCAATTCAAAAATAATATCGCTTTAAAAGTTGTAGATCTTCATAAAACAGCCAAAGCCGACAAAAGTATTACAAACAAACATTAATTTTTAAGCTTTCTCCTTTATATACTAAAAGAATTATCCGAAAATCCAGTGCATTGTATTATAGGTATTTAGAAACAATGTTCAAGCAAAATATACACGAAATTAAGTTGCAAATACAAAATACTCCGAGTTTACCTCAAATTAATTTTAATTTTATCAAAAATTGTTGGTCAAAGCAAATGGCTGAGTATCCAGATCAAGTTGAAAATGGCTGTAAGAAAGTAGAGAAGCAACTACATAAGTTGAACAAAAGAATTTCTACATTATGCCTTAAATCTCCTCCATCAGTAACAGAAATCCTTGCAAGTACTCACAACTCCGATATGAAGATTGCTTATACTGAATGCAAATTCAAAAAAGAAAAAATGAAAATTATTGAGTTGGAAAAACTCAAAACAAAGGCTTTAGAACTCGAACATAAGAATTCCGAAATAAACAAGCTTAAAAGAAGACTCCTTGCCTTGCAACATCTTAAAGAACACTCAATAAAATACAAATCACCTAATGCTATGGAAATAGTGTATACTGGCAAGGTATCAGCATAATTTTCGGTATTTGTTTTCTTTTGTTTGTTTTTTACTGTAATTTATTGAGAAATTTTTAAAATTTTTCTTTTGTTATTGAAGTTTTCGTTAATTTATCTCGATATTTAACATTAAGTTGCTAAAAATGGTTGTTTTGTCGGTATTTGTAAAATAATTGATCCAAATTTTTTGAAAAATTTTATTGATAAGTTCTACTCGATTGGAAGTTGGATACTTTCTAAAATTTTGAATAAAAGGCTCGTAATTAGAATAACTTTCCCTAATGCACAAATCAATTGAATGTTTCAACAAGATAAGTAACACAGTAATATTCAATAGGATTAAGTTAGATCTGTATGCTATGCATTACTGTATTTTGTTTTAATTTGATCAAGTTCATTGAGCACAAATTCAATTTAATGAGTATTTTTGATGAATTTATTGCTTGTATCAGATAATGAAATAATTCATTAATATATGTAAGGTTTTTAGAACATCGTTTTTTTACAAAAAATGAGTGATTTAGAAGATGTTTCTTTATATGAGCCAGAATCAGAAATTATTTCAAATAAGAAAACAATTGTATTTATACTAGTACTTGTCATGTCATTTATCACAATATTTCTACTTTTCTTTGGATTTTGGCGTGTTGAAAAAGATATTTCGCAAGTTATCTTTTCATACTCTTCAGAAAAAGAGAACTATTATGGAATAGTCTCGGAATCATCTGAATTATCAAGAGGTTTTGTTGTTCAATTCCTTGATAACTATACTAAACAATTGAATATCAAACTTCAAATCACTGCGGAACAAAAAGAAAAGGATAAATCAAGAAAATTACCTGTTAGTATTGCACAATATGTCAAAACAAATGATACATTTCATAAAGTAAGCGATTTAGAAACAAATTTTATTTGCAACAAAGGTTATATTCATACAGAGCCAATTAAATTATATAATACAGTTATCCCATCGAATGGGACTTCATTAATATACAATTTTTCAGCTCCTCACAGTTATTTTTACGGATATCATACAACATTATTCTTTGGAAACTCAGATTTGACCAAATTTGTTAAATTGCGCAACTTCCTTGTATATATTACACTTTTCACGACAGCCATACTTGTTTTGCAATTCTATTTTACTCAAAAATATTTTTCATCAAGCATGGCATTTCTTTTAGGCATAACAACATTATTTGCATGCAATCCATATACAGTTAGCAGCAAAAGAAGTTATTTTTCCGATATTTTTAGAGGAATTTCATATTCGTTATTTATTTCAGTTTACAGATCAATTGTTCCTGTCATTTCGCTTTCAAGGTTCCCATATTTTAATTATTTACCTATTATTTGTTTGGTTTTCTTTTCAGTTTTTTCAATTATTTTATTTGTATTGTTATTAATGATTTTTGAACCAGAATACTTACCATTTAACACACTGAATGATGTTGTTGAGTATCCTGCATCTAGATTTTCAAAATTTGCAAATCCAATCATAATATTTTTGTCATTTTTTGGGATAATTCTTCTTTTAATCAGTATAAAATTTGAAGAAGGAATTGGTCGTATCAAAACTGGCTTTGCTGCAATTATTCAACTATATTCTGCTTATACAACTGTAACAACCACATTTCGTATTGCAAATGTGCCTCGTTTTGTTACTCTTTTCCCCAATCAAGGTTTGTTTTATGATGGATTTGTTCAAATAATTTGTTCTTTGATATTCTCATTGTTATATACAAATGTTCAAATAGAAATCAATCCTGATTGATTTATTCCTTATTTACATATTGTTTTTGTTGTTATGTTATTAAATAGAATGTTATAAATTTACTAATTTTTTATGAAACTTCTCATTGATAAATTTTGATAAATAAGCATAAACTAATGTGTTTCTTTATTCTCAATTCACAACAATATTGTTGATGACATTAATTCACACATTGCACATATATAAAATTGTCAGTAATGTTATCATAAACAGTTTTATTTGAAAATACATGTATTTTATTCAAATTATTTATGACTATACATCATAACTAATGCTAGTTTAAAGCCAAGTATAGGGTGCGGCAAGGTATTTTTATAAAGTAAAATTAAAATATGTGGAGGTAAACTATATCGAAGTTTTGGACAGTTCTTTATCAAATTGCGATAATCAACATTGCAATTTTCGGGAATGTTCATTTTGAAAAGAGTTTGACTGATCAATGAATCATCTTCGATGATTAAATTGATGCCTTCTGGTAAAACAATCTCTTCAAGTGTATCTAAGTTAGACATACAATTAGTTTTGAAAATAATATCTGAATTATTTCCATGATTGTTGAATGTGACTCGTTTGAGATTTGCAATTCCAGTAAATGTATTTTCTTGGATTTCTTCAACATATTCGTTGAAAATGATAGATTTGATGTTGGAATTTGAAAATGTAGAACTTTCAATAACTCTGCAATCACAAATTTCAAAAACAACTTCTTCAAGAGCAGTTCCAACCAAAGAAATGAATATTGTTTTGATTAGAAATGATCTCTCTAAAGTTGATATCTGTGAAATTTCCAACAGTAAAATAACTAATATTACAGTTAATGAATGAATCATTGCAAACAAATGAACAAGAGTTTTCTGGTAATGAAAATGAAGTAATGCTGACGTTTTCGAAGGCAGAAGATTCTATTGTGGTATTGGTGTCATCTTTAATTGTAAATCTAGTTAATGAATTCAAATTAATAAATGATTGAGATTTGAAAATGATGCTATCACTTCCTTGGAATTTGATTGATTCAAGTTTTGATGTATTGTTGAAACTACCTGATTCAACTGAAGTTATGTTTGTATAAAATGTAATCTTTTTCACATCGATATTAGGGAAACTGGAAATAATATTGTCTTTGATCATATAAAATGAAATTTCTTCGGCATCCAAATCTGGAAGTTCTGAAAGTTCAATGCTCTTATTAACAAAGACAAGGTGTTTCGATTCTCCAATGTTAGTTAAATCATCAAGATTTGTAATGTATTTAATATTTGGTTTTTCACTGTTAACAACAAGGTATTCAAGATATGGATAGCTTTTGATAATACGCAAAATGTCAAACTTTTCATTTGTCTGATTGAGAATAAATGCCTTAAGATTTGTGTTTAAGAATGCATCATTTTCGATGATAAGTTTTGTGTTTGGATTAGTTATTTCGATTGTTTCTAATTTGTTGCAATTTTTGAACGATTGTGATTTGAATGTAACTATGGCTTCTTTATCAGAATTGGTACAATCAATGTGAATTTTAATAAGATTTCCAAGATTAAAAAAATGATCCGCTGCTGAATGTTATATTTATTGATTTGAATGTGATTATATTAATATTGTTATTCGAAAATGCATTTTTCTTGACGATTGTGTTATCAGTTCCTTTGTTGAATGCGATGCTCTTGATATTTTGAATTCCACTGAATGCATTCTCTTGAATTTTGTTGACATCTGTATTGAAAATGATAGATTTGATATCAGTATTAGAAAATGTTGGACTTTCAATAATACTGCAATCGCAAATTTCAAATATCACTTCTTCTAAATGTGATGCGCCTAAATGGATTTCTTTCAAGTTAAGTCTTGGTCTAAAAACTAGAACTTTGTCTCTTTGGATTTTGTTTCCATCATACAAATAATATCCTTTATTAATTCCGGAAAAATTAATATCGTTGTTATTTGTTGTGCTGAGGATATTTCTGAAATTGATTTCTGTATTATTTCTAACAATAAATTTGCTGATATTACAATTAATGAATGAGTCATCATTAACAAATGAAAAGGAATTTTCCGGTAGCACAAATAAGCCTATCTTTTGATTAACGAATGCATTGTTTTCAATTGTAACATTTCCTCCAATGAATTTATAATTAACTAATATATCATTATAAACATCAGTTTGATCTCCTAATGATTTAACTGTGATTTGATTTTCATTCTCGAAAATGAATGATTTAATTGATGAAGGATTTGTATAATTAAAACATACACTCTCGATATCGGCTTTGAAATAAATGCTGTCAACATTATTGATTGGAGGAATATTTTCTATTACCTTTTTAGTTAAATTATAAACTATGATTTGATCTATTTTTGTGGATGATATTGAAACTAAGTCATTTAGATCGTCAAGATTGGGTATAATAGCATATTGTTTTTCATCACTTGTATTTGCAAAGATGTTATATTTATTTGTCTGTTCATTGTGTTTAATTTGCAGAATTTGGATGTTTTGAATATCTTTATATATCTCATCCAGAGGTATGAAATCTGATTCTCCTATCGTTAAATTGAATTGAGGTTTCGATGGACTAGAAATCATTAAAGATGAATTAATTAGAGAAACATTCTTGAGTTTTAAAAATTTATCTAAAAACTTTGGTCCAATACTTGATTTTGAATTATTAAATAAGATAAATTCTGATTGTGTGTTACTTTCTCCAATCTCAAATTCATTAATATTTGGACAATTTGCTAATAATTGATCAAACAAAATATTGTTTGATGAAGGGATATGAATTTTATCAATAGTTGTGTTGATTAATTCATTTGATTCGATAGTACGGACACTTTCTCCTGAAAATATTAATGATTGGATTGATTTGACGTTTTTAAATACATGCATTCCTATCTTTGGAACTGATTCTTTAAATTCAAACGTTCCAAATTTGAAAAGTTGAACATCATCATTCGACTCTTGATTATTGTCATTGCTCTCAAAATCTAATTGATTTTCTAAAAGATTTATAGATGATGTATCAATATTATTATTAAAATGATCGATGGCCTCTGAATTGCTAGAGGAATCCTTGATGGTAAAAGCTCCTGTAGTGTTTTGAACTGAAAAAACAGTAATATTTTTGACGTCATATGGATTGTCTAAATCAATGTCTTCAAAACTTGTTGCATTAAAAATAACATATGTTTTAGCACTAAATTCCATGATTATATTGTCTGTTGCAATGAAATAAACAGGATTAATGCACTTGATTTGAAGCGCATTATAATGTGATTCTTTTTTATAATAATTTTCAATGAATGATAACTCAATTGGATTTGAATTAACTATAAAATTCAATTTTTGTAATTTTGATATGGAGTCAAAAAGTATATCCAAAGATGAATCAATAATGTAAAAATTAACTGGATCATTAAACTTTCCCAAAAATCTGTTGTCTATATAAATTGATGAGTGTTCAAATTTAAACTCTCTGAATTGTGAAAAATCAAGATTTTCACAGTAATCAAATAAATATTTAATATCGATATTGCATGAAAGAGGAAGATATATTGTATGTAAGTTATTGCATTGAATAGAACGATCATCAAACTGAACAAATGCAGGATTATCTTGCTGGAAATAAATTGATTCAAGTGAATTTGTGTTTATCGCGTTTTCTTCAAATACAAGACCTGTTTGATATTCATAGAAATAAATATTTTCAACGACAGCTCCAGAAAAAGTAAGTTCTTTGATTGTACTATTCATAAAATAAAAGTATATTGAGTTAATATTAAATTCGTTAGTGAATTTTCCATATGATTTGCATCTATAAATGTGTAAAGAAACCAGTTGTTTTTTATGTAAATTAGAAATATCTACATCATTATCGAAAACAATAATATTTTGTGTATCTTGTGGCATAAAACTTGGATCTGTTAAACTATTATAATAATATGTTGATTCATTTTGGCCAATTACTCTTTTAATATTTGGATTATATTTGGCCAGATTTATGAGATTTATTGATGATCCTGATAATAAGTTTAAGTATTTTGTAATATTGCAATTATAAAAAGTAAAATCTTTGATAGCGCGATTGTTTGAAATAGTGATACTTTCTATTGTTGTTCCATTAAATGCATATTCTTCAATTGTTAAAGGTTGTTGTTGTTCTGATTGAGATTCTATAGATAATTTACCATAAAGCATAATGTCACCAATGAAATCGTTTGTGTGGAATGAATTCTTTCTAATTAGAAGATTCTCATAGTTTTCAAAAATTAGACTTTCGATGTGAATTGGAGATTCGTTGTTATTCAGATCAACTGTTAAATTTTTCATATCAAAATGAAGTTCTTTGAACTTGCAATTTCTTGGAAATGATGTAATTTTGTTATCTTTCAATTGATATATATAGGCAACATTATATTGATCCTCTCCATCAACAAAATCAATTGAATTAAAGTTACCTTCAGTATTATTAACAAAGTAAACTGCTGTGTTTTTATACTTTTCATTTTGTAAATAAATTTTAATGTATCCTTTATTTATGCTAAAATTTGTAACATGAGAGGAGAACATAGATAATTCATTTGTATCTATAGTATATTGATTATTGATAATAATTGCTCGCCATTGTTGGGGTAGAGTGAATGAGTTCGAAAAATTAAGTTCTGTATTAATGGAATGTATTTCTTGTAAATTCTGATAGTTAGTAAAATGATTCATATCGATGGGAGTTTTCATATCAATGAGGCCAATATGTGTTAACAAAGAGAAGTAATCAGTATATTCTTCATTTTGAAAAATGGAATCATCATATTCTATGAAATCTATTTTATTAATGGTAGGACATGTTTGTAAGATATTTGTCAAATTAATTTGATATTTTTCCATAATGTTAATCTTTTCAAGAAACTCACTTTGTATTGCATCATTAATGATATTGACTATAGCATTCCGTGGAAATATGATCTCGTTAACATTAGTATTTTGAAGATCGAAATTATTTATAGTTAATATCGTTTGATTTGTAGTAATATTTATCACAGATAGAAAGTCATAGCCTTGAAAAACAGATGAAATGATTATATCTATTGGATCTCCTGTATCAATATAAAAATTAAGTAATGAGCAACTTTGATCTGATTCTATCGAATTTAATCTACTTTGATAAGCAGTACATTGTGAGGATGTTTCACAATTTGTGTGGATTGCAAAAATAACAATTAAAAATAAGAAATTCATAATATATTAAAAAAACATCGTTATTTCTCTTTTCAAAAACTTGGAATGGCATTTACAATTTGTTGGTAATTATCATTCAAAATATTTTTTCAATGATAAGATTACAGAATTCTTTGTGGTCAGAAATATCCAGGAAGTATGGTACAAATTCAACTTTATTGTGACAGTAATGTAATTCTGTATTTTCTGAATAAATGATTCGATATATATCCGAAAAATAAAATTTGCTGAAAAACGCTGCTGAATTTTAAAAATATTATCATTTGGAACCCGTGTTTTCTACTTGTGTTGATTTGATAAGTATTTGGCTAGCACAATATGAATTGCTCGTATAAAATTCAAATCGAATTAATGAATGTAAACCTTTTAATTCTTTTCAAATACCATTCATAAGTCGGATAAGAATTAATTAAAAGCTGGATTCACGTCTTTTTTCATTTCAAATTCGAATGATATCATTGATAATCAACATATATTACTCTATTCAGAAAAATGTTAAAACATTGACACTCTCTTCATAATAATCAAAACAAATATCTATGCTTGCAATGCAAAGCATAATTAAAATAGTCCTAAAATATTAAATCCAATCCCCTATACAAATTACATACTTTTTTTACAAAAATAAATTTCAATTTTTCTTTAGAATCGACTAAATATTAACCAATGCAATGAATTTCCGAAAGTTAACTTATTCATATTACAATGAACAAATAAAAAGCAAATTATTATTTTTTCATCTTTTATTTTACTTCTTAAGATATAATTAAACTTACGATCCCTCATTTTGATTTATTTCAAATGAATTACATTTGATTTTATTATCATTAAACATAAATAATGATAGATTTCGACCATCTTTAACTTTTTCCATGAAAATCACATACGTTAGTAGCAAGTCCATTGTAATTGAATCAACTTACAACTTAGATCTGATGGTTATATAGGTTTTAGGCATTTTCACTAAGGTTTCTACAATTTTCCAAATTTAGAACGTATTAAGTCAACACCTCATAGATTTCATCAATTGTATAGTATATTTAAGCAAGATGCCTTAAATTAATTTACTTTTTGCGTGATTATTTTCAAAATTCTCCAAAATCTATGTTTTTGTATAGAATTTTGAATATTACTGTCAGCGTTTTCGAATTATTTTTGACGATACACTAATTTCTATAAAATGATTTGCATTTTTAGAACTTGATTATCAATTTCAGAAATATCGGCATAATTTGACAGATATCACATTAAAAATGTCATATTATTGGAAATTTTTGCTTGAAACAATGAATTTCAATCATAATTTTCAGAATATATTAGAAAAGCATACACAAGCAACAAAGAAATTGCATTGTAATCAATTATCTGATGATATTTGGGAATATTTTTACCAAAACTCTCCTAATTCAGATCCCATTTCAGGAAAAAATGTTGAGGTGACATCAATAGAAGAAGAATGTTTCATATTTGAAAGTCTATTCTACTTTATTACCACTAAAAGTGCTATATATATTACAAAATCATACATTAAATTTCTTAACTCTGATTGTTTATTTAATAAGTGTAGCAGTAATGATAAAGGGGGAGCTATCTACATTTCTTGTTGGAGTTCTGTTGTTCAATACCGATCCTGTGGCTACCAATCAAAAGCAGTTAATGATGGACAACACTCATATATTTACTCAGGTAATTCATCATATAAAAATTTTATATATGTGTGTTCTTTTAATAATTGCGGAGATTCAGAAAAATCTTATACAAACAATATTGAACATGGGAGTGTTGAAATTAAATCAATAAACACAAGTTTCTGTACATCAGTATATTGTGCAGGAATATATATAACCGAAACACAAAACTCTAGAAGAAGTTTTAGTAACATAACATTTTCTTCGTTTTGTAACTCAGTATCAATAGTTGTTATTGTAGAAATAAATGGGGGTAATTATAGTATTAATTTTTGTAATTTTTTAAAGAATCAAGTGAAAAGTTCAGGTGGTTCGACATTATATGGAGGGGGATCAATGATTCAGATTAAATACTGTTCATTCCTTGATAATTCAGGCTCGTATGAGTTTGAACAATATTCAGGTCATTATGATTGGGGTTCGATTATAGTTGAAGATTCATATTGCGACAGACAAGTTACAAAAGGAACGATTTCATTCAATAATATTAAACGTTGGCATTCAACTTATAAACTTTCACACTACTCATCATACTTATGTGAAGCAAAAATTCCATTGATACATATAATAAAACAGAAAAAGTCCATATCAACTAAATTTCGAAAATTCTCATTTTCTGTGAATAGAAGAAGATAATATTATATTCTACTATTCTTCTCAATATTTGTAAAAAGTTTCTTCTTCTGACTAAAGCCAATGAATAATAAAATAATAGTTGTGACACTTTTTACGGGCTTCTAAATCAGCCCGAAAAATTATCAAGCAACTATTTTGAATATAATAATGAGATGATAACTTAAAGTTATTGTATAAATTAGATCCTGAACATTCATGAGATGATGATGGCACTATTCCTGAAATTGAGATAGAAAGTCTTGATTTTACATTCTTCATAAAATATATTTTGTTCGAGAAATGTTGCATTTCCAAATGAAACATCTCACATGTCAAATTTACACTTTCCTGAGAAGAAGTTGACATGGATATTAATATAATTTTAAAGTCTTTGGAAACCAAACTTTTTTAGTAACCTGAAAACCATGTTAAATGAATTGAATTTTCATTGATTTTGGATTTTCAATAATTGTTTTTAAGAGTACGCGCATAGAAGAGGATAGTGCAAAATTATGTATAAAGACAATAGACCCCCTAGCTAATTGTATCTGTTTGTGAAATACTTATGCATTTTGGGCAATACTTCAAAAATTTAACGTTGATAACTCTTTTTTTAGCTATAATCATTCCTCACATTTTTTCCCCGCTCAAATTCATTGGAATAAATATCATGCCATTGAAAAAATTGAATTATTTAAAAATTTAAACAATAACTGAGTTGATGACGTCGTCGTATCTCTGGTGGAATTGGACTGGAGTGATCTGCAAAATCTCAGAGATCTTCTTAATCAACTCTGCATCCTGGAGATCGGCCTTTGTGACGTAGCACTGGTGTTTCTTGATAATGCGGTATTGCTCTGACTGTGCGTCGACGTATCTTGTTGGGATATTTCCTTTCTCGTTCGTAAGTTCGCCAACGGGTCTGTAGAGGAATCTTCCGTTGTCCCAAAGAACAATTGCATCGTTCTGGAGCTCTGAAAATCCTTCAACAACACCACAACCGAGTTGATTTGCAATCATTGAGTCATTTACGACTGGCTTCGCACCTCTGAGTTCGTATCCGATCTTCTTAGGGCAGAATCTTAAGTCTAATTTGTATCTGGGGCAAAGATCGCGCATTGAGTCTGAAATATGACGGCCAAGCTCGCCCTCATCAAGAGATAACTCTCCACGTGCGTTCTTCTTGATGTTTCCTTTGTAAAGATCGAGTAATGATTCGTAATCTAACGAATTAATTAAGGCTTCGCTAACAATAACGATTCCTGTAGTAAATCCTCTGATGTATCTCTTAATAAGTGCTAAGAAGACATAACTTTCGATCTGTTTCAATGATATAGTCTTCATTCCGAAATCTTCTGGAATAATCGAGAGGCAAGTGCTTGTACCAGCAGCCATCTGGGAAGCAAGGTGGCCTGATCTCTTTCCCATTGTTTCGATGATGAAATAATGTGGAACTGACCTTGTTTCCGCTAAAAGATTTCCAACAAGGTGAGCGCCAAAGGTTCTGGCCGTAGCAAAGCCGAAAGTAGATGTAAAGTCTGGAAGTGGTACATCGTTATCGATTGTTTTTGCAACAACAAGAACTTGAATATCATCGTTCTTAAATTGTTCGGCAATTCTATGGCACATGGCGACATTCTCATTGCCAGAAAGTGCGAGGAAGTAATTGATATGAAGAGCGCGGATCTTCTCACTGATTTCTTTAACTTGTTGATCAGTGATTGCAAATCCTAAGCATGATGTACGAAGATATGAACCGCCGGTATTGGAAATAAGTTGGGCTACTTGAAGATCTAAATCAACCTTTTGTTTCTGGAGTTCTTCTAAGCTGCATTTGATTAATTGCGCGTATCCATCATGAAAACCAATAACTTTCCAGCCTTTTTCATAGGCATATGTGATTGTTGATGAAATGAGATCATTAACACCTGGAGATGTACCACCTGTAACAACAATGCAGAGAGTCTTTGCGTCGCTCATTTTTTTGTATGTGTCATCTCACATCCCATCGTTTAATTGAAAGGGATCTTCAAAAATATTATTTTGAAATAATTGCAAAATGAAACTAATTCATTTAAACGACAAAAAAATTTGTATTAATTCAATTTTTGAGATCCTTCGGTACATTCATCGACAAGTTCAGTTCAATTGACTTTTTATGTCAAATATTATTTTAAAGTCTATGGATTTTTTGTGAAATTGCCAAAATCAATTGATCGTATTTTATTTCAAATATCAGCTCAAATCTCACCTAGTAACCGAACAAAACTGTTGAGCCATTACATAGAACTATCCGATATGTGTCATTTTGTTAGATGAGGTGCTATTTCCATGAAGATGTTGTTCAATAAAAATTCATTGATTTACATCAGCTTCTTTGCCTTTAACAGTCACATGTTTATGTAATTTTCCTTAAAGTTACTTCTATGTGTTCTTATTTCATCAACTAAGTTTTGTTGCGCACAGAATATTATTTTAAAAATATCTACTTAATAACTTTGGATATATAATCTGTACTTATCTTAAAGCAAATATTAATGTAATATATCAATTTGAAAAGAAAAAAGAAATTCAATGAATGAATAGTAGCAAATAAAAACAGTATTTAAAAAACAATTAGATATATATATTGAATAGGTAATTCATATAAGGATTCTCAATGATTCATTCACCCAGAATTCCTTATATTATTAAATTAATCAAAAACAGGTCCATATAATAGCTTCTCTGTTTCCCTTCGTCTTCTTATTAGCTCGTTTTCTTCATCATCGTTCTTCCTCTTTCGTTTGACAGGAATTGTTCTTGGATTAAGAGGTCTTCCTGTTCTCTTCTTTACAGGACGATTTGCACGTTCGAACGCTGCCTCTTTCTTCTTCTGTAATGCAGCTGCTTCCTCTATTTGAGCCACTCTTCGTGTTTCTTCACGATGAACTTTTGTAAATTCTAATTCTTTTTGTTTTACAAATTTCTGATTCACTATAGCAACGCCACGATATAGTTCTTCTAACCTCTTCTGTAATCGCGTTAAAAGATTCATTGCTGTTTCATCAGAATCCTCATTAAAACAACTTCTGAATGTTTGAAGGACTTTTTGCGATAAATAATCGATTTCACTTTCAACTGCATTTTTCCGTTGCATTGTTGTTGATGTCATTGAGTTATCATCAATTTTTGGCTGTGGTAATTTTTTAATCATCAAATTAACTTCATTGTAGAGTTTATTTATCTCTTCAAGCTTCTTTTGAGAATTGTCATTTAGGTGTAAATCCAATTCGCGTATTCTTTGAGTGTGTTCGAAAATAAACAAATTGTCTTTTGCCAAAGTTTGTAATTGCTTTGGAACAAAATCGCAATCAGCGTAAATTTCTTCTATTTTCTTGTTTTCTGGGATTATGCTCTGTAAAAAGTTGTAATATTCTTCATATTCTTCTAAAGTCCATAAATCTTTCTTAATTTCCGATTTAAGTATTTCAATACTTGTTTGTCTTTGTCTTAAAAGTCTTTCTTTTTCACATCTGTCTTGTGAAGCTATTTCTGCTGCTTTTCTTCCTTGAATCAATTTAAGTTCAACAATTTGGGTTGCTTTTTCGACCTTTGAAACAGTTTCATCAAATTCTGCTTCTGATTTTTGTAGTTTTAGATCGTTTTGTTTCATTTGATTATTTAATTGATTAATTTCTTTGTTTTTACGGTCAATTAATAATTGGGTAAGGTATATTTCACGTTTTTCGTTTATAAATTCTGTAGTTCTTTTACCTCTTGATGATTTTGCCCTTCGTTCCGAATTTTGATTTTCTGATACCGTCGATTCAGCTCTTTGAGATATTCTAGAAGTTAAACACCTCTTTGTTTGAATTGGAGGAACTGGAGATTTTAGCATATCTGTCCTTTGTACCAGAGTTAAATTCGATAATGTTTTCCTTTCAAGCTGTTTTTGCAATTGCCGTTCTTCACTGTATGCAAACAGCTCTACAGTAGGTGGGAGTGTAAATGGATTTCCCTCTCGACCAATACTCCCACTAAAAGACATTGATCAAGAAAAAACGTTATCAAATTTAATTACTTTACATTGAGCACTGACATATCAGCAATATGATGATGTAAAATATCAACATCAAAATTCTGAAATTTCGAAAAAATGTAAAGGAATCGAATTAATTGAAAGTAAATATTGACCTTGAAGCATAATTTAATGAATTATAGTAATTCCATGATGCAGTGATTTAAGATTTAATGATAAAAATCTCGAAAACAAGCAAAATAAAAAATTGATATTGAATCAGGTTGAAGATCACATATGGACAAATTAAGTGTTTTTGAATTTGATAACAGTTGTCATTCATTTAAAAACGCTATGGTCATATAAGAAAAATAACAAATAAATATCTTTATTTAAAAATCAATATCAGCGCATTCTTCTATCTTATTCAGGCAATCTTTACAGATTGTTCCAGCATTGTTCATTGAGCAGCGGCTGCAATAATACAAACCGCAGCTCTGGCATTCAGACAATTTGCCTTTGCTTCCGCATTTTGCGCATTCTGAAGGCAATTTGTTGGAAATTGTTCCAGTTCCAGCTCCTCTTGCAGCCAAAATTACTCCAACAGATGAGGAAGAGACAACTGACAACAAAGATCCTCCTCTGATAAGTTCCATTGATACAGCATCGTTGAAAGGAACTTTTATCTCTTTAATCATTGTCATTTCTGATTTGGAAGCATCAGATCTCCACAATCTGACGAAACCATCATCATGACAAGATGCAGATGTTGAATCAACATCATTGCAAGCGATGCAACAACATAGACATTTAGATTTGAACTCTTTCATTCCTACAAATGTTCCATTCAATGTCCAAACTTCAACTGAATATTCGCAGAAAACAATGAAACATCCGAATGAATCATCAATTACAACTGAAACTGCTTTTGATGAAGATTTCAATTCAATCGATCTTATCATCAATCCTGTGCCAACATGGAATGTGTACAACTTCTTTCCAATAACTTCTCCAGTAACATAATGATGAGAACTTATGCAGCAGCACAAAGGAATTATATCAATATTTTCATCATCAGAATTCCTGATCGGCGAGGAACTATTTTCAATACTTGATGCATTAATTGAAGAGGAACTATTTTGAGAAGTTGATGCATTGATTGAAGAGGAATTATTTTCAATACTTGATGCATTGATTGAAGAGGAACTATTTTGAGAAGATGATGCATTGATTGAAGAGGAACTATTTTGAGAAGTTGATGTATTGATTGAAGAGGAACTATTTTGAGAAGTTGATGTATTGATTGAAGAGGAACTATTTTGAGAAGTTGATGTATTGATTGAAGAGGAACTATTTTGAGAAGTTGATGCATTGATTGAAGAGGAATTATTTTCAATACTTGATGCATTAATTGAAGAGGAATTATTTTCAATACTTGATGCATTAATTGAAGAGGAATTATTTTCAATACTTGATGCATTAATTGAAGAGGAAGTATTTTGAGAAGATGATGTATTGATTGAAGAGGAATTATTTTCAATACTTGATGCATTAATTGAAGAGGAAGTATTTTGAGAAGATGATGTATTAATTGAAGAGGAAGTATTTTGAGAAGATGATGTTGTAATTAGGTATTGAGATGGGATTGGATTTGTTGTTGAGAGAGTGTAGTATCCTGTGATTTCTCCACTCTTGTTGCATTGGCATCTGAAGATGATCATTGATCCTCTTGATAAAGAAGCGCAAAACAACAATTTTTCGAAAGAAAATGCGGAACAAATGAAAGAATTCAAATTACACTTCCAATTCATCAATCCATCTGTGTAATACAAAACAGATGAATGTATTAAATTACTGAAATAAGTTGTACATGATGTAACATGCAAATGATCTTTGTACTGTATAATAATAGCATCTTTCAATTCAGTGTCACTTTTTACATTCACTTTTTGCATCATTACTGCGTCAGTATCCGCCAACAAAACAGTTCTCTTGAAATTGACTGTGTTTCTTGGAGGATGTTGTTCAGTGAATAACTGTGTTGGTGTCTGTCCGAAGCATCTTTTCATCTGTTCAAACGCTGCGTCGTCATCAATTAATTGTGATTTAATTCCATATGTTGTTGGATAAAACAGATTTCTCTGTATTTTTGCGTTTTCTCCTCTTGAATTATATCCGAAAATCAAATCAATCCATTTCTCCAAATTGTCAACTTCATCCAACATTCTTCTCAACGACCAAACTAAATCTACATCGTTCTTGTATTTCTCAGGCAAAATCACTTTATCTTGAGAAATATTCGATGATGTAATTTTCAATGGAATGTTGTTGACATTTACGAGGAATTCTGGTAGAACATAAAACTCTGGAATGAGTTCTTCGACGTTATGACTCGACAATGAACTGCATGATAAGTATTCGTTGTCGATATCGTGGAATAATCTGTCCCTGTGGTCAAATCCATTATGTAACTCAATGTGCAAGTTAGTAAATGGCTGAACTCGCAACAAAAAGTGCATAACAACTCCGGCGAAAGAATAATGACTTCCATAATAATGGTAATCTGGCTCGGAACTGTCGTACGTCTGTTGGAATGACTGGAATCTCTGTTCATCCTGTGTTCCAATTGGTTTTGATAAGTCTCTTCCGTTAATAATCCAAGGCATAACTGGATATTGGCAGAAATTGGAGAAAGAACGGTCAGAAAGGAAATTGAGGATTCCCAGATACGTCAAACTGGATATTTTGCCAAGAACCCAATCATCTGTTACCTTTTTCATCAATTTCTTGTCATTAACTATTTTAGTGACGTTTGTTGAATATGTTGGACCAAAGAATGAATCCGAAATAGGGAAAAACTCTCTGTGACCAACATTTTCAATGAAACCGTCACGATCATGTTGCTTATCAAAAACAAAAAAGAGAGAATAGCCTCTTGAGAACCATAATTCGACGGCTACTGGTTCGTGGCAGTAGTTTCTCTTCACGCAGTTAACTACATGCTTGTCAGACATGAAAAGAACGCAATGTCCGAAGAATAATGAACAAGATCCGTAATATTTGTAGGAAATGGAGTCCAAAAACGTCGTTGTTGCAATGTCACTCTGGTTTTCAATGAGTTTAAGCTTGCCTTGTTGCGTTCCTTCAGCTTCTGTGATGATATAATATCCTTTTTCGGCAAAACTCAGTGCACAAGTGACTCTTTTCGTTCCGTAAACGATTGTGATGGTTTTGAACTCTCTAATTCCTTTGTAGTGGCTGAAACTGCTTCTGAAAATGAAATCAGTCAAATTTTGGTTGTTAAAGAACGGCATTGATACAAATCTGCTCAATGTAGGAGGTATGTTTGAGTTTTGGACATTGTATTCGCCGATCTTGAAGAATGTCTTGTTTTTCTCGTAGTTGAAATAGTCATTTATGTTATTAAAGTTAATTTTCGAGGAACAAGGCACAAACAACATCGGAATTGACAGCGGATGGACTGTAGGACACAATTGGTACTTTCCATTTGGTAGTTTCGGAAGAATCCACCATAAATGAAAGGCAGATCTCTCTTTTTTGTGGGAAATAAGGTCAAATCGTGCTTGGAACTGGAATTTCTCTATCAACAATAATGATTCTTTGACTTTCTTAGAGTTCTCTTGTAGTTTTTCCGCTTTTTGGTTCAGAATATTATCAGATTCAGAAATATATGAATTTCTGAGGTTTACAATCTTTGAATTCAGTTCCTGTAGTTTCTCATTTGTTGCGATAGCGAATTTTGTGTAAATTTGAGAGGTTTTTGCCTTGATTTTGTTGAGATATTCAGCAAATTCTGGCGGATTCTGGGTAAATCTGGCTGTCATGATGTATATATCCTGCATCTTGTCGAAAACTGACTCGTTTTGGCTGAAAATTCCTTCATAAATTAATAATAATTTTGAATTATCAATCAAACTCATGTTATTCATGAAATTCGACCAGATGTTGTTGATGTTTGGTACGTTGAGTATGTTATTTATGAAGAAATAAAGCCAGAAAAGGTGATAACTCTGGTTCATGAGAATTTCCTTTCCAAACAGAACAGATAAGTTCTCCTGGATCTTAAATGACGAAATATCTGTCTGAAGAGATAGAATTGACATCACCAAATTGCCAAATGCGGTCCATCTCTGATTATAGTCTTTATTTTCAGCAAAACCAGTGTATCTTGAGAAACTCATGCATACAGTGTTGAATAATGTTGTCAAATTGTGCTCCCACCATCCCAAAATGACAAAATTATTTATAAATTTCAAAACTTCGTAAGAAACAGGGAGTTCGTCCATGTACTTCAAGAGAACGGATTGGTGGAGCATCAATGAAAGGTTTGGATCAACATCACTGCCGAAAATTAAAAGATCATTCAAAACTAAAGTTAATTGCTTTCCTTTCACGGATTTAAGAAGATCTACGGCAATACTGATGATTGATTGCAATAAATGTGACTCTAAAACTCTGTTCGATTCAATTGAGGTGTCACTTTTATCTGTCACTTTTTCGGAATTTTGATTTTGATTTACCAAAGAATTTATTTGGTTATTGCAAGCATCGATGAATGGCGTTGGTGTTAGACCGAACCATAGTTCATCAAAGATCAAGAATTCTTCGGAATTCGGTACTTTAAAGCATGAATCTGATAAATTATTTTCATTTTTGTTCAAATTTTGGTTTTCTGCAGGAATTTCTTCGGAAGGCATCCTGCAATTCTCGTATGTAGTGAAATGTATTGGTAGTTGGTTTGTTTTACTCGTCAAAACTCCGAAATGTAACAAATTTCGAATATCTTTCACGAAATTCGCCAAAGGAAGCTTTTGAGTAGCCATGATCATCGAACAGAGAGTTAGTACAATCATGTTAAGTAGTTCTTCGTGTTCAGAAGATCTAAATAACTTACAAATAAATTGAATCATCGAATGAAGCATATCTGGGCGTTGTATTGGTGCCAGAGCATACATCTCGATTGTATCGCACAATCTGTTTGTCAATAATGTGAATAATGCCACCCAAAACTGAGTTTCGAAAATACAATTTTGAAGAATCGGCATCATGTTGTCTATTTCCTTCTGAGAGAATATAGAGTCATTCCTTGTGCATATCTTCGCGTATTCGTATATGTATTTCACTTGTAATTCGAAAGATAACGATGGCAAAAATTGAATTGAAATAGAAGACAAAATTTCTGGGATATTTTCAAGTATCTTTGTTACAAACCTGTTGTTTTCGTTGGAAATTATGTAAACAACAACAGAACTCTGTGGAGATAAGTTGGATTTCAACATATCAATTATTAAGTCTTCCAAATCGTCATCGCTTACTTCGCAATGCATTATTAGGTCGAAGAAGAAGTGTAATACTAGTGCTGCTTCCTTCGGATACCTAATTCCACGCTTAGATTCTTTTAGGAAAGGAATTAAAGAAGAAACAAATCTGAAACCGTTTGTCCAGATATTGTAATCTAAAAATAAATCTTTGAAATTGTCCCAGTTCATTGTTCCATCGATATTACAGAAATCAAAGCACATTTTAACAATTTGGAAGGACAACATGTCTATCTTCTGTGATAATATCACTCTTAGAAGTCCTAAAAAGTGCTGCATCGTTAAGGAAACGCATTCTAATAATGATGTGTTCAAAAGGCTTTCGATGTAGAGAGTAAATGACTCATTATCTTGTACATCCATCAGTTTCTCAAGTATTTTAGGTACAAGATTGATTGTTGGAGCAAATGAATAAATACCACGATATTCAATATTCAAAATTCCACTTCCAGGTTGGTAAGACACTAATTCCTTCTTACCAAATGGATTCGAAGTAGTTTCATAAAGTTCTAGTTCGGATTTCAGATAAAATGTTGAACCAGGAGAGTTTAGAGTGGATCCGATGATTGTAACTGCCTTCTTGGACTTCATTGGAGTGTAAATAACCCTTACATCGTTGATGGATAAACTTAAACAATCGTCCGGAAAAGAAATTGAGACTTTGTGCCATTTATTTAGCGGCAATGTCTGTGGCTTGTCATTGACTATCAAGCTCTCGTTCTCATACTTGAAATCAAAGCCTCCAGCGCTAAATAAATTTATCGGATTTTTATAATCATCGACTCTGAAGTAGAATGTCAATGGAACTTGTCCAACAGTTATGTAAGAACTCTCCCTTCCTTCCTGAAATTGGATGACAGAAGTGTGTGGAAAGTCTGGATTTGTTAATTTGACTAAAATCTCTGGAAAATCGATTGACATCTCCGCAAATTTCTCACTGATGTATTGAACTCCGATTTCAGGTAGTAATTTGCAGTCAAACGAGATTAAGTTATTATCAATCAGATATTTACCTGCGGAATACCTATCAAACAGGGTATTGAAGGTCAATGAGTCTAGTTTAGGTACTAAAGAAGGTATTCTGATTGTTGCAGATGAGTTTTCCTCTGAATTTTGTAATTGAGCGAAAGTTAACTTCAAAAGTTGTTTTTGAGAGAGGTTTGACAGTTTATCTGACTTTTCTATTAATTTGTCAATGATTTCATGTGGTCCATCCATAGAAAGAGCGGCAATTATGTCTAATTTCTGGTTGTCTATGGCCCATTGAATGAAATCTTTGATCATCAGAGAAACTCTCATCTCAGGAGTGTCAATCAGCAGTTTTGACATCATTGGTTCGAAAGATTTCAAATTATTTATGGCATCTAACGAAGAAAGGAATAAATCAAGGTATGTAACGATTGGAAATATCCTACAGAATCCATCTAAAGTGAAAATGGCTCTTTCTTGACCATTTAATAAAATTGATAAAATTTTAGAGAAATAGAATGAAGCATCCTCATAATCACTGACATTATTGAGCATAGCAATCAAGAGATCTTGGAATTGGTCATAATCTGAAAAATATTTTGACAATTCTTCAGATTTTACTTGATTAAACAGAAAAGTAAGGTATTGTTGGTTCATTGAGCTGTTCATGTACTTATTAACAAAGTTTATAACAAGTTTGCAGCTGAATCCGAAGATCCACGGTGGAAATGTCTTTGCAATCAACAAGTTTCGTATTTCTTGCCTTGTTTGACCGATAATTTCTAGATATCTCTCTTGTAAATCGAGTTCCATGTTCTTTACGTGGTTAAGAACTGCAAAAAGTGTTGATTCGTAAACTGGAAATTTTTGAATTATTTTTAGAATCTGATCCATCATTGTTTCAGGTGATTCAATGATCAGATCACTGAATTTGGCTGGAATTATGTCTGCATCATTCGTTTTTGAGTTGGCAGCGTCGATATAAAAAGTATAATCAGAAATTTCAAGACAAAAAGTATTGAATTTTGAAAAGTAAGTTTCGAAATCAGGAACTCTAACTGCTTTTTTGTAAATTGCTCCAATAACAAAAACAATTTCTGGAGGACTTGAATTTATATTGGAAACAATTGTATTTACCATGTATAAGCATGATTTGAGTGATGAAATTGAAGAATTAAGGATTGCGCTGCGTAAAAATTTGAAAAGAATTGGATTTGAAGGTTTTGTCAGTAAAATGAGATTAAAATGTTCTTCTTTGAGTATGTGTTCGACAAATGATGTATTGATAGTCATGTTAAGTAGTAATCTTTCGGATTGGTTTAAATATGATTGAGATTCTTGTCCAATCATCGAATAAAGAATTACTCTGAATGATTTGTTGAAGTTTGACTTCTTTGGAATAAATATCGATGCAGAATTTAGGAAAACAACACTTTTTTGAATTAAATCTCTTCTTGTGTTTGAATTTATTAATGAATTAAGTGTGTTTGGTACTAATGTCATCAATACAATGCATTCTTTTGATATTGGTTGATTCAAAAGCTCTTCATCAGAGAGAGGAGAATAGAAATTTACATATTGATTCACAGCATCATGGATCAACTTCTCATCCTTTGTAGATGCTGCTAATTCAACTAATTCTTGAAACGGATTCTTAGTGCGGCTTTCTCCCACTTGATGAAACCAATTTTTAACTTTATCCATATTTGAAGTGAAGAAAATTTGATTTCAATTCAAATTTCAAAAAGTGACTCTGCAATATTTGCAACATTACTCACCATTATTAGCTGAATAAAATTTTTAAATTTTTGATTTGCATCGGAACCTTTTGAATTTGAGTTACTAAAATTTTTGGTGGATCCGAATTATCTGTCCTTTGTAATTTGAATGCAAGCATTTTATGAGACATGCTAAGCGTTTTGACTACTTATCCAATGAAATTTATATAATATAACATATTTTGATCAAAAAATATGATAAAAATTGTAAAATAAATCTTCAATGATGGTAGTCAGCATATAAACAATCAAACAATTGATATATTTTTAATAATAAACAAAAAAACAAATAAAAAACAAAAATATTAATTGTAAATAAAAGCAGGATTAATATTTTCTGCTAAAGCAGTAGGCTTTCCGATTTTTATGCATTTATCACCTAATACTGCTGATGGAATGTGAGGTGATAAGCTTCTAGTAACTAAATTCAAATGTTGAGTTACAGAAGCTCTATAATTCTCTTGTCTTGCGACAATTCTTTCTAATGCAAGTATATCCTTTGACTTTCCTTTAACTAGAAGTTCTAAGATTTCCTTCTCTGCATCATCTTCTTTCATTTGATTTTTAACATTTTCTAAATTTGCATTGACTGTGTTAATTGTCACATGCAATGTATCGATTTCTCTCTTGAGAATGACTATTTCATTGTCCCTCTCTGTAAGTGTCTCTTCGAGTTTGATGCATTTCCCTTGCAATTCACTGGATCTCGCGATTTCTTGGTCAAGAGATTTTACTGTGCTTTCATAAAGCGAAGGTTGTATCATGGAATTGAGTTCTGCTTTGAGTGTGTCAATCTTTTGACGCATTGCTCGATATTTCTTTTCGTAATGGGATGAATTGTCCGTGTTTTGAGTGATTTCTAACTTCATTTGATTAATTTTCTTTTTCAAATGGTTCCTTTTTTCTTCTGATGTCTGTAAATCAGCTTGAGAATGCACAAGATCTTCTGTCAATCGAGTATAGGCCATTCTAAGCCATTTAAATTTGCAATCAATATTTTTATCGCAATTTTTCTTGAAAAATGCATCAAATGTGTTATGAATCACTGTTGTTTCTTCTATACTTGAGTTATTCTTCGATAACAAATTACGAATGCAAATAGTTGTAAAAATCAAAGATTTAAATTTGTTTTTGTTTTGATCCCTTTGTAAAGCAGCATGTAAATCATTAACTTGTTTGTAAACATTGCATAATACTTGAGCAAAAATATTAGAAAACTTGACTTTTTCGTGTAATTTATTTAATTGAATGCAATTCTCTTTATTTATCTTTCTTTCCTCGTGTAATAGTTTCTGTAATACAGAGTTCAATTCATCTGCTTGTTTTGATGATGTTTTAGTAGGTTTTTTAATATTTTCTAATTCTTCTAAAGAAATTTTCAAATCTGACTTGAGCTTTGCATTTTCTTGTTCCAATATTGCATTCCTCTCCTTTGCAGCTCGTCCTAATGCAAATTCATCCATTATTTTTATCCATAATTCTTCTGATTTTACATTTTGAAGATTTAGCAAAGTTGTCAAGGCAGCAAGATGCTTCTGGAACTCCACAATTTTGTCTAGGTTCTTTTCATTTTGTTCTTGTAACTTCTTAATAATTTCATTTTCTTCTTTGTTTGCAGCATTTTGAGTTTGTAGTTTTTGTTTCCTTGTAAGTTTTCTATTTTCTTGTTTTAGGCTTTGTATTTCATTGAATGTAGCATTCTGCATTTCCTTTTGTTCCTTTGTTAATTTTGCTATTTCTTGAGCTTGTGATTCTATTGTTTCTTGTGCATCATCGAGTTTCCTTTTAAGCTGTGTGTTTTCGATGCTTAAATTTTGTATCATATTCTCTTGCGATTCGTTAATTTCTTTATCTTGTAATTTAAGTTGCTTTAATTCAAATTCTGCAGCGGACTTTGAGGTTACCAACTGATCTATATGATTGTGTAATACTTGATTTTCTGTCATAAGCCTACTTTGTTTAAATTGCATTTTTTGAACTTTATCATTTGTGGATTTGATTTGTGATTTGTTAAAAGTTATATCTTTAGTGTATGTTTTTGTATCATCTGATGAATATTCTTTTGAGTCTTCAGAGATAGATTTAATATTTTCTTCTTTGGGTTCCGATTCTTTTGTAAAATCTTCATTAGATTGTTCACTACTGATTTTAAGATCTATGTCTGTGTTTAGTTCTGATGGCTCTTGGCTTGAATCGTTAAAAGAATCCATTTTCCTCTCTCGTCAGTTTTAAATTTATTTTTGAGCTCTTTCAAATGAAATCAAATTTATGATTTGGGAATTAAATTCCAGTAAATATGGCTTATATGAAGGTTTAGAAATCTATCTATGAGCTTTGTATAGCTCAAAACATAAAAAATGAGTTATAATTAAGGTCCTTTTTTCATTTAAGGTACCCTATTCAAAAAATGAAAGGGGTCCCTCACAAAATTGAAGGGGTACCATTCAAATTCTATCGAAATAGTACCTTAATTAAAAAAGCTCTCAACCGGTACCATTCAAATTCCCTCAAAAATATTAAAAAGATTTTAGGTATGCTGCTAATATAGTTAGTAGCATCATACAGAATGCATAGACAAATTTTTTACTAATTATTTTTTCTTAGCAATTGAAATTCGAGATCGCTTAACTATGCTTAGAATTATAAGCATAATAATTTGGCAAAAGGTATGGGAATAATTTGAAAATTAATTTCAAAATTATTAATACTAGTGCAAGCTAGTGTAAGCATGTAAATGCATATTTGTGCACTGATTCGATACTCTTTTTTGGAAATTGTACTTTATCTTAAATTTCGAATGCAAATTTTTTGAATATGTGTATTGAAACTGTAACCTTTTGTCTAAGTTGCATTCTAATATAGCTCGAATTCTAAAAATGGGACTTTACTCCTCTTTCTTTGAGAAAATTTTAGACAATAGCCAAATTGCTAATTTTGTTGGAGTAATACCTGCATTGGGAGGTATAATATATTGTTCAGGGTTGAAACAAGGAGGTAGTTAGTGATAAAGCATAGTTACCACATGAAATGCAGTAAAATTTTGAGTCTAAACGTCTTTTAAACCATCAAGTATAAATTATAGAAAAAGATACTTTATATATAGTTAAAATAAAAATGATTAGAAAATAGCGTTTTTGATCAAAATTTCAAATTTTTATTTCCGAATATCTCTATTTGTGTCTAATTAGAGACATTTCTATAATTTTAGTGCGCAGCATATGCAATTCCTCTTTGGTTATTGCATTAATTTCTCAAAAAGAAAAAAGTCTTCAATAATTTTTTCAACAATACAGTACTAAAGCTAAGAACTTCTAAACACATGAAAAGTTATATCATTCTCGTTAATATGTAGATTATCAATGAAAAGAATATTGTGAAATTTGAATATTTTTTAAAATAGAATGTAGAAATACTTATCAATGCTTAAAATAGAGATATGTGAGAGCTAGATCCGGATTTATTTACGTTTTCGTGCATATTTTGAATATCAAATTAAATTAATTTTGAAGATTTTAGCATCTAAAAGTATTTAATGCCCCTATACAAGCAAGGTAATTCTTACATGTCTTAGTAAGTCCAAACTTAATGTTTTATGATATGGGCCTGACCTCTCCATATGGTGACGATAGAAATTGAATAGGGTACCTAAATAAAAAAAAGGAGTTTATTTAATTAAAAGAAAACAAGTTATTTTAAGTTACATGCTATAGTCCCTAAAAAGATCTTAGCAAAGTGTAAGTAGGTAATGGAATAAAAATTTTTGTTAATCCCAAATAAATCGAGTCCCATTTTGTAAATGAGTTTTCAAGTCTTCTATGTGATCATCCAAAAATGTAAAAATTGCAAGCTTATCGCGTGTAGCTTCGCGAGGTACAGTCATGTTGTCGGTTTGGCAATAAATTCTTATGTATCCAACAAGCATTGAGTCACTTGGAATATTACCTTTATGGGATTCTTTAATTAGTTTGTATGATTCTGAGTTTTGAATCATGTCTTCTTTATCTTTAAATTTGCAATAATTCTTTCTGCGGTGAATTTCCATCTCACTTGTATGTCTTTTTCCAAACTCAGACCGGACTGCTTTTTGAGATGGTGATAAAACTTTCTTTGTTAAAATATCTTCAATGATTTCTACAACATTTGCAACAAGTTTACCACGTGTCTTATTGTCGGTATCTTTTGATTGAATAGCCGCCATTAGTTGCAAGCAAATGTTGTTAAACTCATTATAAGGATTATTCATTCAACTTTTTGAAAAAATTTACCATCAAAAAAAAAATTGAAAAATTTAACTATAATCTATTAATAGATTATGAGTAAGGGTTTCGTTTTGCTAACATTGTCACTTTTATAGCATATTTGTTTTTGGATGTTTTGCGAAACCAAAAAAAAACTATGATATACAATGTGTGTGTAAAGAAAATACTTTATTTACTAGTTAAAAAATCATTTGGTATTGATCAAGTTATTTTTTCTGGATAAGATATTATATGGATAATTGGATAGAAAATACAATTATATAATCTTGTACCTGGTTTAATTAAGCTAATTGTCATCAGAAACTTGTAATTTTTATGAATTTCAGATTTTCTTTTCATTACTGCTTTTCTTAATAGGTCAAGTTCTTATTTACGTTATAAAGTATGATATTTACAAATATCAAGTTATCATGTTTTTTGAGAAATTATGAGAAACAAACAAAAATGAAAAAGATAGGAATAGCAATGAATAGTGATGTGGGTATAGAAAATGTAAGAGATATGAATGCAAAGCAATCAGTATTTAAGACATTGACCATAGATTTCGAAAAAAAATGCTGCATATTGAGCGAAAACTATGATTATATTATAAGGCTGTCATTTAAAGCATAATGAAACTATTCCCTTTTCATTTTAATCGAATAAGATAGTAAAGATTTTTGAATTAGCTAGAAACTGATGAGATGTTTTCACAAATCAGATTTTTAATCTCTATAATGCATAATTCACTCAATATCTCAATTTTGATATTGCGAGATATTTTTGCTATCGGTTTCGCAATTTTGACACAATAGCAAGAGTGTTCTATAAGCATTATTATCAACGTAGAATCTGAATATCATATCAGAAAATGTCGCAAATCTGACATTTACCCGACCAAATAGCAAAAATAATTGAATACTTTTCGCAAAAACTTTAAAAATCGATAAAAATATGAAATATAGATATTAAAGAGACTTTTTATATAATATTCATAAAGATTTTCCAAAAATATGATACCGCAAAATTAAAAAAGTGACGTCTTGAGTGGAGTCAAAGGTCGAAATTGCTAGCTAAATGTTTTTTTAGCGAAATTGCGTATTGTACGTTTTTTTCGCAAATCGAAACCCTTAACTTATTTTGCTAGCTAAATGTTTTTTTGCAAAATTTCCGATTTCTTTCAATTTTTGAATTCCCGAAGCAAACGAATTTCAAAAAGGTCTACTAAATGTTGTAATATTGTAATAGTTAAAATTTCACGAAATAGAAATTTCATTGAATTAATTTATTCTATTTAATTTTTTCTGCCTAAAAAATTATTGGTGATTTATTAATTACATATTGTTATGATATATAATTTTTTGTAAATTGTCAAAAAAATAAAATTCATCGAAATAAGATGAAATATACAATGAAAGAATAGTGCGTTACTTCTTTTATAATAATTGTAAATTGTTTCATCGGGTATAATTTGCTTTTGATCTCAATTAATTTCATTTCTCATCAATTTGGGCCAAATATCGGTTATTTCTTTGGCTTCATAACAAATACAAATTAAGTTATTATTAATTGCAATTAATTCACATTAATTCAATAAATTAACTTTGAATTTGGCAATTTTTAAATTTTCTTTAAATAAAAATGATTAAATAACTCTAATCATTTAGACATATTGATTACTTTTAATACATTCATCAGATACACTTTTCTTATTTTGTATTCCTGGACGAAAATTTCAGCACCAGAATATCATTTGGTAAACTAGCCTGCCTATTGTAGTATTTGATGTATTTGGATTTGTGGTCATTATTATCCCAATCAACCAACTTGTTAATGTAAATATTTGAATTCTTAAATTTAAAAGGATAAAACATTTGATCAAGTATGATTTGTAATATGACCTGATGGCTATTATTAGATGAGAATGTCAGATTCATATTTTTCGTATTAATAAAGAATTTTTTATTAAAATCATTTATATATGTTGCGGCCTCTTATGGTATCGTTACGCTATTAATGAATTTGTCTCCTATGAAGTATTATGAGAAAATTCCTCAATCTCTTTCAAAAAATCAATTGTTTCATTCACATCATTAAATTTTAATACCCTTCATTGGTTCGAGATCTAACATATTGGCGAGATTTATGTTTTGGCCATCATTTCATTTCAGATAAATTTCCATTCAAATATTAATTATATATTTGATGTGATTCTGCTTATGAATAATCAAATTTCAAATTTTTATTCTCTGTCAAGCCGAAAAAAATTCAATTCCTCCGATCATTTGATATATATGTTATGTAAATCTTTTCTATTAAAAAAAAAAAAAAAAAAAAAAAAAAAAAAAAGGTAGTGGGGCTTCCAGGCACTTCGTGCCCTCTAGCCCCGAAGATGTTTAGAATATGAGAGAGGTCCTATAAACCGGAGAAAGTGTCATATAAACATCTGTCATTTTACTCAGAATTTTCATGAAATTTACACCAAAAATATATTTTAGGGTAGAAGGGTATATCTAACCTCTTTTCTAACCTCTTTTCTACCCTCTTGAATTTTCATGAAATTTACACCAAAAATATATTTTAGGGTAGAAGGGTATATCTAACCTCTTTTCTAACCTCTTTTCTACCCTCTTGAATTTTCATGAAATTTACACCAAAAATATATTTAGGGTAGAAGGGTATATCTAACCTCTTTTCTAACCTCTTTTCTACCCTCTTGAATTTTCATGAAATTTACACCAAAAATATACTACTAGGGTCATTTACGAAGAAATCTCAACAAAGTCTTTACGATGAAGTCTTGACAAAGTCTTTACGAAGAAGTCTCAACAAAGTCTTTACGAAGAAGTCTCAACAAAGTCTTTACGAAGAAGTCTTAACAAAGTCTTTACGAAGAAATTCATGAAAATTCAAGAGGGTAGAAATGAGGTTAGAAAAGAGGTTAGATATACCCTTCTACCCTAAAATATATTTTTGGGTCATTTACGAAGAAGTCTCAACAAAGTCTTTACGAAGAAGTCTCAACAAAGTCTTTACGAAGAAGTCTTAACAAAGTCTTTACGAAGAAATTCATGAAAATTCAAGAGGGTAGAAAAGAGGTTAGAAAAGAGGTTAGATATACCCTTCTACCCTAAAATATATTTTTGGGTCATTTACACTCATTTACGAAGAAATCTCAACAAAGTCTTTACGAAGAAGTCACAATAAAACATCTGTCAAAAACCGCTTTTTAACTTCACTTAAAATGCCACGTAAGCTACGTAAGAATATACGTAAGAGGAAGAGAGCATTGAAACATCCAATAGTAAAACTGACACCACAACAACAGTTGCAACAACAAATGCTGAATGACCCCACTATGTTGCAACAAATGTCAAGCAACCCTATGCTTTTAAACCGAGTTGTTGGTGCACAGAGTGGAGGTTTAAGAGCGGCACTTTTAGCGAAAATGGCAGGCTATGGTGGAGCTGCAGACGGAACAGCCTATAACCCTCAAAGTCAAATGAATTTGAGTTCACTCAAAAATCAAATAACAGATGTCAAAAAGTCAAACATAGACATACAGAAGCAAATAAGTGAAAACGAAAAGAAACTAGAATATGACAGACACACAAAGAAACTCAATGAGTTAAACGTAGAGAAAAAGAAGAAAGAAGAACAACTGAAAGAACTAAGTACAGAGCAATATGCGAAAAAAGTGTCAGAAAAAGCAGCAGAAGTAGCAAAAATGGAACAAGATGTCATAAATTTGAAAAACCATACTACTCAATATAAAATACTGAAAGATGAAGAGATAAAACAAAAAGCCCTGAAGACATATATGGATAGCGATGAGTATAAAAAAGAAGTTGAAGCAAATGTAAAGGCAGAAAAACTTTTACAGTTGCAAAACCAAACCGTACAGTATGAAAACTTAGCACAAGAAAGTAAAAATAACGACGCAGCCATGCAAAAGGCAATGAAAAGCGCAGAATATATAAAAGCTAACAATGACTGGTTAGATGCCCAAGCCAACGCTAAAGCAGCCCAACTCATAGGGTCAATAAGGACAAAAATACAAGCGGATGAAGATAGTTCAAATGAAGCTTTAACAAATGCTGACTTTAAGAACGCTTTCGAAGCTCTTCATAGTAAGGTGAAACAAGTGAACGACTTCTCATCTGGAAAGAAACTGAAGTCTGAAGGTTTCGACAAAGAGTTAAAAGAAGTAGCACAAAATATGACGAAAATAACAGATGCAGCAACGAGACAGGCAGTTCAAAGTGCCTATGACGCCGTTAGAGCAACTGTTGTGAAAAGTCAAGAAAAAGAGTTACAACAGACCAAAACAGACCTAGTAAATGCTTTCTTAAGAACGAAAAGTCAGGTAGGACATTACGCTGCAGATGGAACATATGTGCCAGCTGGTGGAACTTATATACTAGCTAGTGGAACCTATATACCACCAAACCCTCCAAGAGAAGCACCTGCACCAGGACTACCTAAAACATTTACATCGTCACATGGACACAGACACAGGCATGCACCAAAACCAACACAACAACCAACAGTTCAAAACACTGCACAACAACCACCTCCACAACCAGCACAACAACCACCTCCACAACCAGCACAGCAACCAACAGTTCAAAACCCTGCACAACAACAACCACAAACAGAGCAAGGACATAAAAGAAGTAGAGAACAAGGAAACCAAGAATTCTTAAAAATGCTTAAAGAAGAGTATGGTTACCCAGATACTCTTGACTTTAGTGACAGATATAAAGAAGCTATTAGAAAGTTCAAGGAAGGAAATACTGACCCGAACCTATTTAGCTTTATGGTTCAGCACCAAATGGGATATAATTTCAAACCTGGAAAATACAAGCTCGCTAAGGGATATGATTTAATAGCATATCATCCAAATGACATGGATGAATTTACTCCGAGATATTTGGTGTCAGAGCTAAATGACAATTCAACTCTCTTCATGAAACGCGTAAAAAATAGAGACGGAACGAAAGAA